ACGACGAGCTCCGCTAATCGCTAATTCGCTAGGAGAATAATTTTGATCCGCTAGCAACGTCGATGATGAAAAAGTAGCGAAAACTTTTCGTTGAACGTGCCGCTACATAAAAAAAATAGTGGCAGTTATCGCTAAAACACTACCAGCAAAATTAGACCGTTAATCGATACTTCCGAATCTTCCTTCAAATTTTGCAATTGCGCTGCTGTTATTTCTGAGAGAAAACCGTCAGAGAATTGGCAAAACCTTTTCGGTTCATTGGAAATGAAGAACTTTATTCAGGTTGAATCTTTTTATTAAAAAATCACGAAAACAACAATAATAAACAAACGACGTCCAAATGGAGAACCACCTCGCCATAGAGATAAGCCCAACACGGTAAGTACGAAACTGGTATCGACGGGTATTTTATGCTTATTTTCGTGCGATAGGAATTATGCGATGGAAAGTGAAATCAAGAATAAATTACAGTAATAAGGGTGACTGCAGTAACAGTCATAGATGTTGAGAGTTACTAATGAGATAATCAAATTCCTTGCCTGTTCGGGAACTCCTCACCTACTCACATCTCTTTCCCGTCGTTGATGAAAATGTTACCTTTACTGATCATTTAATAAAATTCGGAAATACTTCACTCAGGATGTACATTCAGATAATGAGGTGATGAGGTGTGTTTAACATACCAGTGTAATCAATTGAAAAGTTAACAAAAATGATTATTCTCCTCTAAACGTTCCTTAAACATCTTTGAAATTAAAAATCAAGACATTGGTAAGATATACCTGGACATCTGGTTTAGCTAGGCTATCAAATCTTTCTATCCTTCGTTAGATAAATCGCTGTATGTTTGAAGGAAAATAAAATATCGCAAGATAGCATAAAGTTTTCTGATAACAGAGGACCTTTTTTATCCGCTTTTACTAAGGAACCATCAGTGTTGTTAGTAAGAATGACGGTCATTGTTCCTGCTCTAGTATAGTTGACTTTAAATATTTTTCGAATCTGCAGAACTCTAAACCGAGTGATAAAGGAAGGAAGCCATGTTCTGAACTGATATACTTATACCATTACATTTCTGGGCGATTCAGTGCTACTGAACGGTTCTAGAGGTAGCAGCTCTAAAATACAGTATGTTCACTACTGAGGTTTTGTGAGACTGAAATTGTGAGTGAATTACACATTTCTGATTATACTTTAAGGTTATGTGAATTACTCTGACTATTTACGCCGAAACTGATCATATCCAAAAATTCACTACATATACGAAAACTAGGCATATCCCAAGATCATGGGAGGCAGAGGTAAGTGGGGGGGGGGGGGGTATTTCCATTCACTGTTTGATCTTCTTCACTCTCTCACAACTTATCATCAAAAGTGTTCTCGCAAAATCAGAGAACAGATTCGAAATCAGTTCGCCGTGTTCTACAATGTGATAAACAAATTCTGTCTGCAAACTGTGAATTACATTTTGGTAAATCGAATTGGAAACATTTCCCTGTGGCTTGCAGACTTGAGGTCTAAGCAACAAATATAAACTGAAGCACTTTAAGGCATAAGTCAATCTAACTCAAGAACATCAAATGGACATCGTACAAGGATTAAATATACTGATGCTGCAAAAATAAGTATTCCTTTATGAAAAGTAGTGATTTGGTGGCAGTTTGAAGGAAGGGAGCTCGCTCAAACGCTAATCAAACAAAATAACGCAAGACATCGTTTAAAAGTTATTGTAACGATACAAATTTCCACTATATTAAGAAAGTGGCGAGAGCGCGTCATTGCCCAACACCGCTCCGAAGCGTTGACTCGGCTACCACTAAGATTGTGTTCAACAAATGCTCAAATGTTCAATGATTTTTAGAATGATGACCGATCCTCTCGAATGAATGGTAAGTGATCAGAGTGATCAACAAGCTCAGAAACAACTGAATGGCTTTCGTAAGACTGAATAGACAAGGGCTGAAGGTCACGGCTTCGGAGCATAACAGGTGATTGCATTCATTCATAGAGCAAGTCGTAAAATCATTGTTCTCTGATCACCGTTCGCCTCTTTTGTTTGCCACCAAACACAAAACGATCCTTACGTAACGGTCATTATACGATTGAATTTTGAATAGCCAGATAGATACATCAATCAAATGTTGAAATCGCCCATTGAATCATTTAACCTTTATAGGTATACCTGACTAGATACTAGAATCCATGCAGAGTGCATAGGTATGAATGTCTCGATATTCAATTTCCTACAAGAGCAACTGAATGACTGCAGATATTGAACTGATTAGTATGGCTGATGTCATTATCAACTAATAAAAATCAGTAATGCCATCGAACTACGTGGAATTTCTCACAGTGGTCATGCAGCTCTAAAACACACATCATAACTGGTTGTGAGAGAGAAATTAGATCATTTCATATGATTAAGATCTGGACGGGATCCCGGTATCACGACTTCTGAATCCAAATCCCGAGCTTCATGTTCTGAAAATTGCCGGGGTTTCGAGATCTGATAAAACAAGCAACTTTTTATGATTTTTGTGTTATACTCATCTCGAATCAAGCATTAATCATTCTCAGCCTCCTCATATGCAACAGAATGTATTGTTTACACCAAAGCGGCAATAGAACGATGAACCATTGTACAGTGACGCCAGGTCATTTTCGTTTTTCACAAAACGGTGGAAAGGAATTTCATAATGTCATCACTCTTGATTCATAGTTCGTCATCACCATTGATCTGTCGTCTGTTTATTATGATCCATCATATTCGCATCTGACCTAAAGAATGCCTCCAAACAATGCAAGTTCGCCCGGATATATGAGAAAATAGACGAAAACGGTGATCATTCTTGCTGTAGGGCATGTTTTCTTTACAAAAAAGACAATGAAACTGCGAAATGTAAACCGTGCGGTGAAATTGAAAAACCAAATAGATTGCTCATTTGGAAGGGAAGAGATTATATGGGGTTTAACCGTGATGAAAAATATCTCGGAACTGGCAGTGAATTAATCTTCGGAGTTATTCAGTGCGAGAAAGTGCAAAGAGTGATGACCGGAGTCCTACAGTAACTGATTCATCCAAGAAGGGGAATGAACAATATTGCTTTCTGAAAGAAATTAGAATTGATGTTGAATTTGCAAAATTTCTCAACTTATGGAAGGAGTGAACCGTAGCGTAATCTTTGGAATGCATTTTTACGAAGAAACGAAGTGGAGAGCTGCGAATAAGAATTTGGATCAATTAGAACGATTCCACCGATGACGAAAGTGAACGAGCTATCATCACTCGGTTTTTTTCTTTTCAGAACTGAGAACGCCAATGAGTGATTCAACAATCAACTTACTTCTCAAAGCTTATTTCAAATTTCACTTAATTGCATTCTTTCGTTCGCATATCAATCTCAATTGCATTTTTTGTTGCAACATTGATGTCGTTACTTTTGTTGACAATTTGCTGTTTTAATAACTTTTTATATACGAATTTGTAGAAATCAATTTGATTGATATGTGTTATCGATTTTAAACAATTGGTGAATCATTTGCGAATTTTGAGGAATATGTTCGTTTTCCTTTCATCTCAATGTCAGATAAAAAACTTTGGCTGACACTTAGGCTTACATTCAGGCTCACAACTGATCGTGAGCTCAGTCTTAAGTTCAACTTCTGGCCAAGATTGGGCTAAAATGACCCAAGCGATGTTTACAGTTCACCGTGATGCCTTCATTTCATTTTAACTTAGAAGTACTCTTATCTCATCATAAAGTTTTGTCTTTGTCACCATTAAGAAAACTAGTATTACGTAGTAATAGCAGTGCTCAGTTTAAAAAAATAGAATCTGATTTTCGGTGATGTTGAATCTAATCGCAACAATCAATTTGAAATAATTTATACCATTCTGCACAAGTGCACTGACTGCAGTAATCAAAATACAACACTGCAGTAATCATCGTTATCGAACAGGAACGTAACAAGAGAACGTTTCAGTTTCTGTGTGAATCGAAAATTGATAGTGCTAATCCGTTCTGTGTGTAATACGTTCATTTTGATAAGTTGAACAATTGTATCAGCAATTTATAATATTCATATTCCATTTGAGTGTCTTCATCAAGACTTCTATCGTCAAGCGTCGATATCCAAAAGAATCTTTCATACGAACATACATAAGCAAGTGCGTTTTTGAACGTGTGAAGAAGGCATAATTCCGTTTGAAATATCATTTTAACGACCGACGACGTACTGATCTGTGAGACAGTTCGTTGCGTAGTTCGAGTGATATCGTCAACACAGCCGAAACCTTGCGATATGACCATCGACACGCTGCTTCGAAAGATTGTTATTGAGCAACGCAGGCAGTTAGAATACCACTCAAAATAACCTATGCACATAATTATCTTTCGAACTATCAAAATTGAACAATTCTTAGGAGCACCATATAAGATTTGTTATTTTCTTGCTGTGAACATTTTCAAACAACTTGCTTGTTACTTTAACGACAAAAAATCACATCAACTTTAACGAGTGACACCAACAAAATCATATCTGAACCTACGAAGATGAAACTTTCAAAGAACTTCAATCAACCCTAATCCAAAATTTACGAACAAAAAGCTATATGATTTCATCAGTTAGGAAGGAAAGGAACTTCATGCGAACAACGTCGAACGAGTGACATTGCTGGCTTTCATGAAGAACATTACACAAGAAGTACCCAACTAAAATCACGGGCATGCGTTTGATATACGAGATTTGAATAGAAGAGGTACAAAAGCAAGCATTTATCAGGAACGTTTTCAGAAGATGACAACCAAATGGCGACAAACAAATACGACAAACATCAACAAACTGTTTCATTCATTTTCTCGTCGAGTGAATTAATCAGAGATGAGTCAGTTTTACCGAAATGAACACAAAAATATTAATTTCAACAACGATTATACAGATATGCAAACTCTTAGCAGTCTGCGAACAAATAGAGAAGGGAAAAGAGATACAATAAGACCTCAAGATGGAAAGAATGTGAACGCGTTTAAAGATGGATCATAATTGAGTGGAGGTTGTTGATCACGTCCCCTGAAAATGACAATTTAAGGCATTATTTGAAAGTCAAAAGTGCTTGAGAAGTGGGCGTGATAACAATGTCCATTCGAGAAATTTAGCATTCGATGAGTGGCATTCGTTAAATACGATTACTCGAGTAGATCTCAAATGTACACATTTTAATCCTCAGGTGGAGATTGTAAAGGTATTGATAAAGTTTTCAAAAGATGGAATAAATTTTTGATTGGAATCGTAATTTTGACGATAAAAATCGGAAAACTGAAAGAATTAATTGTATGAGAGTCTTAGAGGCTTGAAAGAGGAAGAAAGGTACCTGGAAGATCGACTGAAGAGGTGATCACGAGAGAATGTGAATGTATCGGTTAATTGCGAGTGCACCTCGAGCAAAACATCCAATCGAGAGACGAGGAATGCCATTTGTGAGGTCAACAATGAATCGCGTTTCTTCGCTTCCTTCCGTTTAACAAGTAAAACATTTATTGCGTATTCCAAATTCTGCAATGTTTAAAACAGACATGAAACTCACTTTCTAGAAATTATCACGTAGTCGATTAACAACTCAGCCTGGTTAACTGTAAAACGCAAAGTGCAACAATTTATTGAACAGTCACCATCTGAACACGCCACTATTCATGCTAATGACTTTACTGCAAATTTCCATTTATCTCTTCTGTTTCAAAAATGACATCCAAATTCTCGCAAATAAAAAATTTGCAGTGCAAAATGCTACATTAGAATAAATCAACCGTGACATTAACCTTGATAAGAAGCGACGATTTGCTGCTGTATTTATGTTTGTTGTCAATGCTCAATGATAATATAAATAATGGGCTGTCACTAAGCGGATATCCAACACTGATCTACAACAAATTGCATATTATGAATGCACGTACATTTAAGTTTTTCACTTAAACATAACAAGTCAATGAATGATAATATAGATTAATACGAGTAATAGATACGTAGATTAATACGAGTAACAGCAATACAAGCGATATAAAGTAATATAAGGAGTAGTAAAGCTGCACAACTAACAGTGATGAGTGCAGTGAGTTTCGCAGGCGATCGTTCCACTTCGGCGGCGAAATAGAAATGATTATTCGCATCACTATTATTGCGATCACTTTCGATCATTTCCCGATAGTCATTCGTTACTATTGGATTCGACTATAAAATTAATTCGACAAACTGCTTTGGAATACAGAGTTGTATTCATACAACAAAATATGATTCATATCACACGTCGCATAACAAATCGTCAAACATTTTTAAACCGTCAATTAATCATAAACACATCAAAGCGCTTAAGAAATTCATCATTTGACGAACTGTTCTGAGTGTACAATTCAAATGGAAATAATTCACTTTAAAGGACTCACGAAGAACTCTTCAGCTGAAAGCGTTTTGAAATCGACTAATTTCGATAGCATTTTCGGTGGATATTCTTTTCTGTCCTCAACGCTCATATCATCGAACAGCTTCAACGAACCTAAAATCAACGTCAAACACACCAATAGAATGAAAATGTTCAGTGCAACGATGCACATGTCTGTAATGAATAAAGAGGTCAGTTAACATAATGTTACTGTCACCATCATCTGAAAAGCACCAAAAAAAAGATGAGACTCACGAAGTGACTGAATGGATTTGATTAAGACATATCGCGAACGAACGCGACCTCTGATCGCTTTAACCACCGACTCAATGATATCACACAACTGCGTGTCACTCCTCTTCTCGGCATCCCTTCCAATACCAGCCATACGCTGTGCGAACGCATACATCCGACCGAATTTTCGCTCATAATCGGACACTTTCAAACTTAATTTGTGGCTTGTAAAATTACAATTTTTTAATGATGAACATTCATAAATTCAAGAAATAACTCAGCATATTTCACAGAAATCGTGCCATACACGATAAAGAGAAACTTACTGAAACTGATCGAGTTTAGCCTGACCCACAGCATTCGGACATTTATCGCCAACATCTTTCGGATACAACTCGACCAAAATTGATTCGTCACACAACATATTTCTAGAAACATTCACTCATATATGAGTTTTTCTTCACGTTATGATCATTGATTGCGAATACTCAACATAAAAATCAACAAAATCTCATAAAAACAATCTTCTTCTAAACTCTAACCCATAAAAAGGTAACGATGACCCTTGAAGCTTTGCAATCACGGCGATTGAATGCAACTGCAGTATATAAGAGAACTGCAGCGATATCTGAATATCATCTGCAACATAACAAAACATTAAACTAACCAATAATATTTCCAATAAACAGTACACCACAACGTTTAATTTTCAAAATCGATGAATTATTGCTAACGGCTTCTAAAATGAATGTTTCTCGAAGCACTTATACTTTAAAGCCAACAAAGCGTAGTTCGATGTAACAACTTGAGATGGCTTAAGAGCAAAACAACAACTCTTTATTATACTATACGCTGATCATCTTAATTGAATTTTCACAACAAATAATTCAAAATTCCTGGTCATAATTCAACACAAAACATCTGCTAAGGAAATGGATAAATGGTTGGGAAATTATAGCTTATGATAGGAGTGTAAAAAAGGGAATCTAAGCGTTAATTAGTAATGAGATAAATTAGGTTGAATCGCACCTAAAAGCAGATGATAAAAAATAAAGGGAATGTGACAAACGATAAAAAAACGAACTAGCACAGGTGATATCAATAACGAGATGGATCGGATGCGCCCCTAGCACAAATTCTTTCCGTTTCGCCATTCGTTCACTCAGTGTATTATGACGCCTCCTTGAACGACTCGGTGAACGATCTCGATCCGTCTTAATCACAAGTATTTTATTTCATTCAACATTTCACATAAACCGACTATATCAGCAAACAGATCCGTTTCATAAGAATAATAGAGGAATAAACTGACGTCGGCATCGGTGCTCTCATCGTTGTCCTCATCAGCATTCTCTGAACGTTGCTCTTGTTCATTTTCACGCAATTTCATCGCATTCTCAATATCTCCTTTGCATCGTATCGCTATGCCTTTATCTTCAATTTATTCCTTTCATTCATTAAAATGAAATAAGATTCAATCCCGATTTGTAATCAATCAAAAGTGGATACCTTCAGCAAGATCGCAATAAGCTTTCACTTGAATGAATATCACGAACAATTCCTTCGGTAAATACGCGAGAAACTGTCTCTGTTGCGAGACATCCGATGAAAGTGTATTCAAACCCATCAAGTCTTGAACTGGACGAGCTGCCTTAAACGATTTGTCTCAATTGCACAATGTCAGTCACAGTGAACGTACAATCATTCAATCTCTGATCATAAAAAATAAATTTATTGATAGGGAAGAGCCAAATACTTACTTCGATAAGCGATTCAACCATTGATTTCAAAGACTTCAATCGATTTTGCTTTGTTGAAATATCACTTATGAGCACATTCTTGCGACCTTCTCGTTCTTGCAGTGTGCCAATCAGCCTGAAATGCATAAATATATCATTCTCTTTTTAGACGCATTTCTCAACAAATCAATAATGTAATGTCACGATTCACTTCAAAGTATCACCGCAATAAAGCAACATAATTAAATAAATTATCAACGCGCTTCTTTGCTTTTCAATTCTTCTCACATCGCTTGTTGTATTGAATCGTATTCATGCTATGAATCTTGTTCATACGCGCATCATATTCTCTTTTGATCGTCTAATTATATCGATGAATCAAAATCAATCATCGAATCAGTATCAGAATAATACTAATTCATTGAAACGATCATGAAAATGTCGTCGCTAGAAAAATCAAAGATCTCATGCTATTATTCGGATGAAACCGTACGTTTTCCTCTCGGTCAATTCCCATTCCAAACGAGCGATACGTTCCTGATGAGCATTTTGCTGCGCTTTCTCCTTCAGTTCCGCACTCGCGTTCTCGTAGAACTCATTCAACGGTACCAGATCAATCTCCTCATCTGCTGAGCTGCAACAAAGACGCAATATATTTTGAGCAATAGAGATTCCAAGTGGAACAGTGTTCAGAAGCAGTACTGTGCGCTAGAAATAAACCTGAATTCGACACATCTTGCGATCTCTTTTTGCAGATGTTCAATTTCAGACTGAACGTTTTGCAGTTGCAAAAATCGTTCGTCGACGTTCTCTCGTTCCGTATTTCCCTTCTCACGACATTTATTGTTGTTGAATTGTGCAAAACGATTCAAACGTCGTAACGACAGCAAATGTGACATGATCGATTCGTTTACACACGTCATACCGTCTTCACTCTACAAATTAACCAACTTGTTCATTGTGCAGTCTGATTTATCACTTCAAACAAACACAATTCGGTTACATTTACAAGTATTTAAATGTTCGGATAAACGATAACCGTATTCGTATTGTTATCATTATCAGAACAAAGTTGATTGCACAGTTGTCTCAATCGATTCGAATGCTCGTGGAACATTCCCTCAACTTTATCCCATTCCAATCGCATTGCTTCCGCATCTTCAGCTTCATAGAATTCCTTCAACACAAATTTTCCATGCTTACCCACGTCGATGTTTTGCTTTGATATATAAAAATTATAATCATTTTCAAACTCTTCTGATGGGACATGTATCAACGTTGATCTTCTCATTAATTGATTATATCGACCACAACGCAGATGATGAGTTCGTATCGACCCACTACGTACTGACTTAATGTAATATATTCCGGATCGAATCCGCAATCTTTCATACGGATTCATCGATAACGTATGTGTTGTTGTTTTCTCGCTCATATCAGATATCATTTTACATTCATTACTACACAATCAAATCAGATGTTTTCTAACTATTCGATCTCACCGAGACTGTCACAGCTTTACTTGTCTCACTTGTTGCTCTCTTCTTCTCGCGGATTTGCACACTATCCGTCGTCGGACGTATTGTACGTTTCATTGTCGATCGCGAAAAACCTCAAATAATTCGGTGATTTACTTCAGATGGCATTTTCGAAAAATCAAGTTTCGAAGCGTGCAACTTTTCGGAGCGACCCGAAAACAACTCTGACATAAGCATCGAGGATTTGCAGGAGATCTTATCCCTATTGTGACACTGAAGTATGTAATATTAAAGGCATGAAAGGAGGCTTCGAAACGACGACGAATTAGAGTGCGATTCGGACGTCCTCAACAATATCAGACAGAATAAATCGTTTGGTAAAATATCGCAATTTCGATTTTATTTCGAAACTAATTGATGAATGTAATCGCATAATTCGAACGAACGTTGTTCACAGAACAAAAAGAAATAATGAACAAGGCTTTTATTCGAGTAAACTTTCATTGATAATGGAAGTGATCGCATTAATAATTATACAATTGGTTAGAAATGCTTATCGACTCCATTCTACCAGAGATGAATTACTTCTAAAATTTGCTGCATATGTTTTCACATCTGTAATTCTCAATTAACATGCTCAGTGACCTCTGCGCCGGATGTGGCTCACGCAAAAACACTTTCTCTACCGGCTGTTCGACAGTGGAAATGAGACGCTTCAAATTAACAAACATTTAAACGGTGCGTCCGGATAAACAACGCAATGTGAGGATGAGTGCAGAGAACGGTTTACCCGGACAAGATTTGAGTTAACATCGGCACAGTTGACGAAGGCACAAAAGACGCTTATAATGCAAAAATAATGATTGAAAGTGAAATGCATTCAGTAGACTTACAACATTCATCGATGTGTAACAACTTGCAAGAGGCATTCAACACAAAATGCGAATCGTTTCAACATGAAACGCAAACGAATCAACGATTGCGATCATCAACGACAGAGTATACAGATGACTGGCCGTGGATTGCATTCAAGTTTGCCTGATGGTTTCATTCGAACACAAATCGCACGCGATTATGCAGCGAACAGTTATACGGATCAATTAATTAACAACAATACGAAAACAAATAAATGCAAACTGATTGAACAACGAAACAAACACAACAACTCAACGCACATAAAATCGATCAGCAACGAACAATATTCTCGAATGATGAATACTATTATATTAATGACACTTCTTCAAGCAATTGAGCAGTCACAAAATTACACGAGGTGATCACTGCCAAGGCGTTCCTAAAAATTACATCTACTACTGATTGAGGTAGACGACAAAAATCAAGAATTCTTTCCCCAAAAAATGAAAATCAACATTCTCGTGCCATTTTTCCAATAGAGAAAAGTTCAGCGTATTCATAGGAAAGTTGAAAAATAAATTTCTAATGTTGTGCTCTGGAAATCATAAAAACGTGTTCGTCTCAATAATCTATCAACGGCATATGAAACAATAAACTCAATATGGACACGAATCACATCGTTCGAAACAAACCAATAAATAGTTAAACAAATAAAGTGAAGAATAAATGAATAATTGAGATAAACTCTCAAAGAAATGCTCAAATCAAATATAAACAACTTTCGCACTCGATCGACGAAGGCACAACAACGAGAGCAATGAAACCAAATCGAGAAACGTCTACAATATATCACAATCTCATTCGAGGAACATTCGATGAATTGTTTTCATTCAAATTATTACGGAATCAAAAGAATCAAAGTAACTTCTACTATACTGCTAGTGTTACTCGTACTCGTACAACCACAAACTAGAGTCCTTCAAAAACCTGCACTCGCGATTTCGTTGAACCAGCCGCACTCTGCAATAAAATTCAACTATTTTCGAATTGATAATCACTGCAACAAGACATCATTCCGTACAAATATCAACATAAAGAACAAGGCAAAATCAATCAATAAACAAATACGAAAAAAACAAATAAGGACGAACGACATCGGTTAGCAGGACCCATTCGAAGTAAACATTAAAAACAGCATGCAAGTTACCACATTTGAGCTCTACTCTCTACCCAACACTCAGCTAAATGAACAGCGACCTTTTCAGTTTATGTTCAAACGGGTGATAGGAAAAAATAACTTCAAATGAGCGGGAATGATAGCAAGGGCAATTCGGATATCGGATATGAAAGATTGAAAGAGAGAGGGCATGAAAATGTTTCTACAAAACTCGCTGACTTTCATCAGGTTTTTAGGTAACCCTGAAGTTGAAGTAAATGTGTGCAATCTCGCCCTTATTATCAACACCTCAACTAAAACATCACTATCTTCTTTCAGAACGCCCATATATGGTTCCAAACGAAAAGATCAAATATTAATCTTCCAACTAGAACATTTCACACTCACTCAAATCAATATACCTTCATAGTACGTACTGTGTTCGATTCATTAGCAGACTAAAATTTTTCTTATTGTTATTTGAAGAATCGCTTCACGAATCAAGAATCCATAATTTTACAAGTTTATTCCAATCAAAAATTTTATGAACGCACCCAAAAATCTTTTTGAAAGAATGAAAAAAAGCCTATTAAAATTAATTCTGCGATTCTGCGACAACAGAAGTCGCCTTCAATCAAAAGTTTCGCAACAAACTGATCTCAGTTCTTTGTGATAAAAAGAAAAGATGAAAACTTTTGTGTTGTATTACAGAAAGGTTGTTTTAATAGGCGAAATGGTGATATGTTAACGCAGGAAAGGGAAAGATCATAGAAATTACTCAAGGAATATTTATATGAAATGATAATGAATGAATAAACCTTTCTGAGTGTCGAATATTTGTCCATTCCTTTCTGCACATTGGACGCATGAATACGGTCGTGTTCGGTTTGCCTATCTTCCACTTTTAAATTCTCGATTTCAGCACGAAATTCACTCATTTTTTGCTTTAACTGTTTCGTTTTCTCGTTGTATTCGGCTCTGTAACGATGCAATAACAAGAACGACATTGCTGTAGCATTAAAACACAATGAAAAGTGTGACTGCACATACCTTGACTTTTCAACTTCTGAACGTAACGCAGTGAGATCGGATGTCATCAACTGATTATTGGATGGGTCTGGTGGAGCACCATTCAAATACGCTTCACTTCTGAATAGCGGTATTTTGAACTGGTTGGTCGCATTTGAATTGAGATTATTACTGTGAGATGCGGATAATAACTGATGATTGGAGTGCGATGAATTATTGTCAATAGCGTCTTGTTGTTGCTGTGCTGATAAGCAGATGGCATCACCACTGCTCGACGACGACATTAAATGGTGATGCGACGAAGTCGATGAGGCGTATTGTTGTGCACATGGCAGAGCATATGCTGAATACCAACCCTTAAATTTCATTTCAATTTCCATTAATTTCCGATTGGTTTTAAGAAAATTTTCGATCTTACTCACTTGAGGCCAACTAGGCTCAGTGGCGAGGAACTGACTTCGATACATGAATGCCTCACGATTACGGCGTTCGGTTTCTTGCAAGAGACGATGTGCGACGAGTTCGGCATCGCGAGCCTTTCGTTCCAATGTCATTTTGGTTTCTTCTGACTGAATTTATGTCTCTTTACATCTATTTGTTCGAACGGATCAAGGCAGACAGATAACTAATTCACTGCTAAAACACTTCATTTACATAAATACATTAATATGGCACTGTCGATCTTTCTTAAAAGTTTGCAAAAACTGCATTAATTAGGGGACTCAAAAACAAAACTGACATTTGAATCAAACCTTAATTTGTGAGATTTTCATTCGTTGACATTCAGCTTCGGCTTCACTCGCCCTCTTCGATAGCACCAACGCCTCTTCTTCAGAAACGCGAGCTTTTTCAGCCAACAACTGTGCTCTCTCGTCAGTCTTCTTCATTGCCTCCTTTAAATGTTCAAGTCAAATTGATTCACAGCTAAGATAAACGATAAAGAGACAAAATAGTTGAGATTGCTAAACTAAGCATTCGTTTATCAAAGATACGAATAAAATGACTCGAGTCGAATAAAAGAAGTTGATAAGAGTCGAACCCTAAGTGCACACAACTCTTCATTCGCAGCATTGAATTCATTCTTGTACCGATCACGGTCACTCTCTGCTTGAAGACGTTGCTCACGTTCGCGTGTCAGTCGATTTTGTTCTTGCTGAATGAAAGCTTTTTTGAAGAAGAAAGGACATCAGCTATCACAAAACAACGACAAATTCGTAACAAACGAACTGAATATAAAACCAACGATTCGTCGAATGCGTTGCTCTTTAGCTTGTGCTTTCATCTGCTGTACTTCCAACAAGTCAGGTTGTCTTCTGCGTAAATAGAGATTATGCGTTCCAATACATAAATCCAATATACTCATATTGATGGACATATCTTTCGCGCGGAATGTTATTGTACTCTTGTCCATCGTTCGCATTGTAAACTGAACAACTGATTGATCATTCACTTAGAGAAACACAATTTAAAAAATCAATGAAATGAGCACAAAACGTACAAGTTTATTCTTGAAGGAGATATTTTTGATTTCACTCCAGGAAAAGAATGGTCGTGGTGTGATTCGATTGGATTCTTTGTATATACCGATACCTTGCGCCGATACACCAAGATTCAGATCCGTTTCTTTACTATTCTGAAAGTGTTTAACTATTACTAGCCATGCAGCCTAACCAAAAACGTGAAATACGCAATAAATGAGACACTTAATTTTTTTTCTTAATTTTACAAGACACTTAATTTATCATACTTCACTAAAAGAAACATAAGAAATTTCGGAATGTTCGATGAAAGTTCTATTACTAAACGAAAAGAGAGTGAACTGAAAACGAGACTCGACGTGCAAGATGAAGAACAAAAGAGATTTGCATGAGATTCGGAAACAAATAATGAACATACACATATTGGGTAATATTGTATGCCGTACATTTCCAAATCTTGTGCCACTCTTAAATACTCCATTTCTGCATCCTCCCTGCAATAAGAAACATTCAAAATTCAATAATTCCCGTACATAAATATCTCAAATACCTGCTCTGTCCAGCATTATTCGCCCACCACCGTCGTATTCGTTCCTGCCACATTTGTGCAGACATATCGTATTGCTTAATTACACATTCGGGCAACAGCTCACTCAGTTCCAGACGTGAGTCTTCACTACAGTCGCCTTGCTTAAATGAATCGGATCAACAAAACTTCGAATGAACACTCAAAACGAATAAAATCGATTCGAGATCGCTTACGATTGCTTGCACGGCATAAGATGCAAGAAGAACGGATGCCTCAGCAGAGCAATACAGTTGCATCGAGAGAATACTCTGTTTGATTTGCAGAAAGAAAAGATGTCGTGTTATGTCTTGAATCAGCTCCTCTTCCACATCTTCTGGGTAAAACTTAACCAAAAATAAGAAATGAATTGAACCATCTCCTTGTTTTGGCACTTCTTGCTTGCATACCTATAAATATTGTTTATGTATAGCGACATTAATTCATCACATTACCATATTAACATTTCATTTCATAGGAATTTTTATGAAAGATTTCTGAAAATGAATGTTCTTTAATGAAATTGAAAAGAACAAGCCTTTTTCTCCATTTGCAACCAACATGGAATGCCTCTTTTATTGATGAACTGCAATCCGAAATACCAAATTTCTCGTAAACCAATTATTCGGCACACCGTATCGTACAGTTGTCGTCCGGTCCAGTCGGGCTAAAATTAGGCAAAAATTGACATGGAAACATTTATAAGTCAAATCCAAAATTGGAAGATCCTCACGGAGGTACATCCTAATTAAGCAATTCTAGAAGTTGTAAACAGAAAAATGAAATGAATGCCTAAAGAATTCAACAGTTCTAGAAAGCTTCGAAGAGAGGTTCAACTGCAAATGAGTTAAAATTTGAATGGCACAGGAAACGTAGCGATCATAATGTAATCAAATTCAAAAGCTAACCTCGACGGCAATTTTTTCAAGATCCGCGTCCATTGTACTCACTTTTGCGAATAAATTCTTGCTACCAGCACGCGATGACAGTGAAAAAAGACCCATTGCAACGTTAATCACAGTGGCTTCGATCAACAAATACAACACAAACAGTAATCAGTAATCAAATATCACATTCATAACTGAAATTAAGAACTGCAAATACTGCTGTTCACTGATCAACGAAAATTCAGTAGGCATGTACCAAAGCAGCGTGAAGACAGTGAGAGAGAGAGCAATGTGCGTCAACGGTTTTCACACCTCTAGGAGTAGCACGGAGCACGTAAGAGACACATAAAGGAATGTGCTTGCGATAGAGAGAGAAACTACAATTGACGTGACTGGGGCACCGTCAAACACTTAAAGGAAGGATTCGAGCAAATGGAAGCACTCAAACTGAGGTGCCGCTTTCGGGAATGCAAAAAGAATGATTTTTTGGAATTTTAAAATGTTAAGAAGGTTTTCGAAAGAGAGATTTTCAGAAAATTTTCACTAAGTTGAGAAAGTAAGATTTTTTGGGAATTTTAGTTTCGGGAATCCAGAAAGAAAGATTTCATGGAATTTTAAAATGTTACGAAGGTTTTAATATGTCGCTATCAAAACTTTCTTTAGAAAACGGTCTGAACGATTTTTTCCACAATTTCTGATTTTCAAATTGCATGGAATCTTTCTTTCCGGAACTAAAATTTCTATAAAATTTTACTATCAAAGCTTTCTCGGTGATTCTTCCCACAGATTCTGATTTTCAAATTCCATAAAATCATTCTTTCGGATTTTCCGAAACTGAGAATTCCAAAATATCTTACTTTCATAAATTACTTAAACAAATTTTCCATCATACCGTTGTCACTGATCTTCATGAATATGTTCACTTTAGCGAGGTGATCTCTGGAAAAAATATTCCACGATCTTTAAACTGAGTACGGTGTCTGATAAAGTTTGTCATGCGCCTCGCAATTCACCACACTGCATAAGGTTTGTCATAAAACTTGATTTGCAGTATCTCAAATGCATTGTTTGATGATACCCCAATCGCACCCATTGTTCTTCTCTTCTCTCTTTCTGTCGCAAGCACATTCCTTGATGTATCTGTTACGTACTCTCTTCTGTTTCCAGAGGTGTGAAAACCGCTGACGCGCCGTGCTTTATCCCTGTCGTCTTCATGCTGATTTGGTACACGCCCTTCGTCTGGCGTTCAGACGGTGCCATTGATCTGAGGGAATATTAAGTAAGAGTAAAATCGCTCGTTCGTTCAATTCAATTAAAGTCCGTCTTTGCTTAGTCTTATGTGAAGATAAGACGGTTTCGTGAGAGAATGTGACGTAAACGTGCTTTTTGTAAGGAAGTGAATGGACTGGAAGGGAATTCGGATGTTTGCACATTGTGATGTGTCACTAAAGAAGTTTCAACGTGGGTGAGCAATTGGCGCAGCCAATTTACCTCCCATCTGGCATTGTTTCTTAAGTGTGTCACCCGGCAGTCCGCCGAGCACTCTACGTTCATAAAATTTCTCATTTCATCCTCTGCTTCACTGACCAACTTTCGCGACTCCACCCAACTGAACACTTCATAGAGAACTGCTGCTATGGAACTCATTAAAATTCATTTGATGTGAGGCAATGTGAAGCGACACTTCAGCCGGAGTTATTGGATGCGATGTGTTATCAGTGACAAATAAGCATCTATCACCAATTTTACCGATTTTCATTCAACTTCATATCGCACATCCGTTCATCAATAAATTTCTTCATCCAGATTTCCAAAATATCTCGTCGTTCTACCTATGCAATCAATCATTTCTAATGAATAAATCCGTGATTAAATGATTCGTCGCAATCCGACGATTTGTTTGTATTGTAAATGAAATTTTTTCTTCGTTAAACATCTCGTTTAAGCGTCGAAACGAAAAAAAATAAATGTAATAATGCCAGATAAAACAATCTAGTCGATGCACTTCATTATGTATACACATATTACAGCAGTTAGGTTGTTCAGGTGTGTTTTAGCTAACGAACAAAGCACGATGTTATTATTATGATGATGATAGAATTGCGTTTATTTTGTTGAGAATTATTTGTGGCTTTTCGCTGCACAAATATCTGATAGGACACTATCGTTTATTTCCATTTTTTGCTAAATCATGCGCATTTGTCTTCCATTTTTTCATTCATATTTTTAAATATTGACAAATTATTTCGATGACGAAATGTACAAATTCCTCCTTCTGTCTTATTTCCAGCTCCAATAGAAGGTTGGTATTCAAAAGAGTTATTTTTTTTTCGGTTGACAGGAAATTGAATACAGCAACAGATGGGGAAGATTGGGAAAAACGAGAAGAGATCTTGCCAGGTGTAGGCCGTTATTATGCCATTAATTCAAAATTACGCGGTCTTCGGTTCATCTCAGTTTTTGAAGGGAACACTCAGCTGTTGGATGGGTCATTTTATTGTTCGAGAACGTCTACTTGAATCATGATCATCACCTGTTGTGGATTTCGCCTATTCACTACTTCATATATGATGTTGAGAAGAATATTGGATTGTCTTGAGAATGTTCTTTATTTTGGAAATTCATAAATGTTGAACTTTTATTGAGCATCTTAACGTTTGCTGTTTGCGATAACGTTTTTAAAGATCATAAGTCCGCCGTTTTAATTATGTGATCTATTCAAGGATTGTTGAAAATAAGCAGACGCAATGGCCGTATCACACGAATTCGCTAATCTCCCAAGCACCATTTTTGATCAAAGTAAGTTATTCATTTGGCAAGTTGCTTTTCAGTATATTTCCGAAATCAGGTAATTTTTTAGAGTGGTTTTGATACTGAAATGATTTGGATTGTGAATGCTGCTGGGTGCTTATCTGAATCACACAGTTAGAATTTTGGTTTCTGAGTGCCATCAAGAAATCCTCAAATTGAACTGCACAATTACCCTCTAATTTTTTGCTAAACGTCTTCATCTGTCATCAGAAAAACAGATTAGTTTTACTGCGAATGTCATGCTGACTTCTTGGAATCGATGCTGATTTTGTTGGATTCTGATTCTGCTGATTAATTACCTAGTTAGGATAGTTGTCGCAATAAGTAGTGAATAAATTAACAGTCGGAAATGCTTAATGGCATGTATTATGTTCGAGTATGTTACTTCATAAAACATTCCCACTTCCCATTGTACAAAAATGCTTTTATGTAATCAGCAGACAGTATTTGTTTTATCCTCTAGAAATTTATTCATTTGCGATAAATCGATATCGTTCATTCATCAGTTCATCCAGTACCGAATTTATTTGTGCCCGTTTCACTCGTCAACTCTCCTCTCGCTCTATCTCAATCAGTTTTACCTTACGGATTCACTGACCACATAATCCATTTGATCTCTTATTAAATGTTCATTGCTCTCTTCTATTCATTAAGCTGACAACGGTGACTTGGATGTCAGTGAGGAAATGGAAGAAATTCGTGAACTGCTCTATGAACTCGTCAAAACCAATTTCCCTTCTGGTGTAACGGTCGAATATTTGGCGAAAGTTTATAAAGAGAGGTTGGTTGTTGTTGGTTGTCGTAATGTTTATTTTTATTTGGTTAATACAGACGTGTAGTTGTTTCAGTTATGAAAGTAGCGGTATGGGTCCGCCATTACCCAATGACTGGCTAGACCATATTCGTGTAGCTGAGGAATTCGAGGTAGTGAATCGAGGACCGATTGTCATGGTATACACTCGACAACGCAATGCACCACCGCTTAAAGCCGACCAATCACCCATCAATCCACTGAGTAATCGACATCACTTCTATTTGCTTATTCACAATTCTTATTCATTTTGCATTGACATATATAACAGTTATCATTAGGACTTTACTATTATGCGGTAAAGTTTATTTACATTTTGATTGAAGTGTTTATTGTTGTGGTAATGACATGTATATGCATCGAGAGTGAATTGTAATATTTTATTTTCACATGTTCCATTGCTTCCGTATTGGACATTGAATTTGTGAATTATTTTCCGAAAATTTCTGTTAGGTATAATGTTCTCAGATATATCGAGAGGAGCTGGGATAGCTGAGAAACGTGATAGAGTGCGTATTCGATTGACTGACAAAGAATTGGCACAGCAGGTTTCGATTGACTTCTGTGCTTTTTTATTGAGTTAATTTTATTGGGTTGTGATTTTGGCATTTTGATTGAATAATCTTGAAAGGAGTTGGAGACAACAAATTTGAGCATCAGCACCGAGTAATGATCAGTAATGTTTGAATAAATTGAGATGAAATCGATATTGGTATATTCACCGGTGAGTACTGGATGCACGGTGAGTGTTGTGGTTGTGGGTTACGATGATATGAATTCAATCACGATACAGTTGACCAGTTCAAGAACTGATTTCGAGCAGTTGAGAGCCAATATGGATGCGCATTACACTGATCAACAGTCTGGTGAGGCTGTTCAAGAACCTGAAGTTGGTGGCGTTTATGCGGTTAGGGACACAGATCTGCACTGGTACCGCGCTTTATTGCAGGTTTGTTCACCTTTTTTTGGCTGCTGTGCTTCTAGCGTTGTTTCTTCGAACGTTGGATGTTGCGGAATGAATGTGTATAATATTTCAAAATGGCGTGTCGAAGAAAAGTGGATTGTTTGAAGGTGTCAACAATGGATACGATGTGTTGTTTGCTGATGGATATCGGTCGTGAGATCTCAGTGGATCGTAAAGAGCTGATGCATTTAAGTCCTGGATTTGCATTGCCATTCACGTACCCAATCTACGGAATCAGTGTGAAACTTGATGGTATTAACGATACAACTTCGTCGATGTGTGCCATTCGTTCGGCTTTTCACACACAACAACCACTGCTCGTTCGTTTTTGATGATGTTGTTGTTGTTCAATCCTTCTCTTCATATTCTATTTGTTTCGTTATTTTTTAAAAAATTCTTTCGTTGATGTCAAATAATATGCGACTCATTCAGTCTGCAGTGAACAATCGAGGTGTTGTTATTGTAGTATTGAAACGGCACGAAACTTGTGAAGTGTGCGTTGAGTTGGTGATTTGAATGAGCAGTGGACATACACTGTCAGTCTTTCACATTCCATAAACGTAGCGATTGCGCTATTCAAATGAATTCTATTGATTCATTCATTTCTTTCAGTTGAGATTTGAAACGATGGATAGCAAACTGTCTGGCACCCACACAGTGCAGTGTGCAGTGTGCACGTCAGCTGAGGACAGTTCGGGGGGTAGCAGCGCGACATCGCTGTTGAATCGTAAGCAGTATGTACTTTTGCGATTTATTGTTATGATCATTCATTCAACATTAATCCGTTTTGAGTGCACAACTCTTTATCATTTTTGAAATTACACACACACATATCAATTCATCATCATCAAGCATTCATCATTGCCAGTGTCCTAGAAAGGATTTTCCGACGAAGGAAAAAATTTCTGATGTGATCAGTAGGGAACGAGTGGAGAGAAGAGAATTGAAATTTGAATATGTGTAATTCGAGTTTTGGGATAAGACAGTGTCAATCAATAAACAATGCGGCATTATGTGCATACATTGCTCTGAACTGAATGAGATGCTATCAGAAGAGTTACTGATAATAGTCGGATAATGACGAATGTTTATTGCAGTAGTTCACAAACATCATTCGGTGTGTCATGTGAAGGTGGTGATATGGTTGATTTGGTGCCGATGGAGCTGAGTGAAATGCCAAAAAATAGATTTGCCGTTCACGTGCTTGCCGTTTTCGATGTGGCGAATATTAGCATAAGACAACGTTCTTTGGTTAGCGCACTATACCTATGGTCTTGCATCGTTGAATCAAGCCGTCATAACCTTAGAACCATAGAAAAGAGATATGCGTGAATATGCGCCATTCAAGGATCCGATTCCGGACTACATCGCGAGTGCAGTGGAACGAGATAGTAAGGCACAGCAGTCAGCACCACTCTTCGTGGAACTGGTTGCGGGTCGATGCTATGCGGCGAGGATGAACGAAGATTCGAACTGGGAACGTGTACAGTTGCTGGGACCGAGCAGTGTGGACGCGGACTGCTTCCGAGTCTATTCGTTGGACGTCGGCGCGTTCGGCATTGTCAGACGACATAACTTCCGTTTTCTACGAGTACCGTTTGGCTTGAGAAAGGTTTTGCTGGCTAAATGCAAGGTGATTCGTTAGCGATTCGTTTTGTTTTTTTTTTTCAGATTTTGTGATAGTGACAGCAATTTTGACTTGATAAACTTGGTGAGATAATCGATTGACTTTGTATATTTATGATCAATTTGAGATCGGTGGAATAAAACCGAAAGACGGAAGTGACGTGTGGAGTTGTGAGTGTCAAACGGCGTTGTGTGAGATGATCGGCAGTGCGAATCTGGTGGAAGTAGAGCCATTGGGCGAATGGATTGAATATCCGGAAGAGAACTGTCCCAAAATACCGTTTGTTGCAGTCAAGTTGTATGCGGACGGTAAGGATATAGCACATCAGTTGATTGCAAAAGGGTTGGCGCTGCGTATCTGAGTGCTGCGAATTGTTATTAATCAGTGTAGATGTGTATTATTCAATTATTGGTTCATTTATTTGTCTGTTGTTTATTGTTTGCTGCTTAATTTTTTATTTATTTCACGAGTCGCATCTTTTTTTTGTTTCATCTCAATGTGCAGACTCAATTTTCCATCGTGAACGCTTTCGATTTTGCTCATTGAAAATTACTCGCAAAATGCCAATGCTCCGATTCATTAATTTATTGTAAGATATTAGATTGACGGGAATTAGAAAAAGAAACGCGAATATCGAATTATAAATCGAACAAGTGTGGTTTTTTTCCAGTTCGTGATATTATCGAACAAACTTTTCATTAATTGCTCATAAAATGTAAAAATTGTTATTATATAAAACAATGTGATTACATTAATTTATTCAAATAATCTTCTGTATTCTGGTCGTTTTCATGTGACATTTTGTGCAGTCATCATCTGAACTGTGTTCATTTATAAGTTGTTTCATTTATTAAGTTGTTTTGTTTTTTTAGTTTGTCCGGATAACTTTGAATGCTGCTTCATTTATCGGTTCATGAACAACGCTTTGCTTATTGTTAGTATGGAATGTGTCTTATCAGTCAATTGATCGCTTCTTCTCTTTCCTCCTTATCTTGCTCACACTCTTTACTAATTGTTCAATGACCATTGCTCTAACGCAACACTAATCTTGAAACTGGTTAATGATAACAATGAATATGTGATTTTATAACTTCATCGTCATAACTTTAATTCGCTTTCGATTGTATTCATCGCGTCGTGAACATTATTTCATTACTCAAAAAGAAATTCAGCGAAGCATATTCATCTTCTTTTGACTTGCAGAATAGCATCATCGTTCAGCAACAGTTCATACTTCTTAATTTTGCGCTAAAATTCTCACTTGAGTTATTGATCGAGCTGAGATGTTGATCGATGCATTACGCATTGTGCTTCGAATGCAACTTCTAGAAGTTGTTGTTTGAACTCGCATCGGATCTTTCTTTTTAAATCTGAATGACTGAAATAGATTATTGCGTTGATTTATTCAATACAACAATTTCAATGAAGGATAGCATACGAAAGGCAACGGCTAAACACTCTTTCATGAACACCGTTCTCATTTTGTTTCGTAATTAGTTGATTGATCTCTTGGATTCATCATTGACTGCATTAACTTCAGAATGATTCATGATTATTGCTTCAGTTGCATCAAAATGACAACAAAAAAGCTCTTTATTCGAGCGATATATAATTAAAACGTTCAGTTTTATTCTCAGATATTTATTTCAAGTTCCCAAAAAGCAATCAACATTTCATTCGTGACGCGTTCTGCTATCTATGCAAAATATGTTATGATATGAGTGAAACACCAAAGTGCTTCTTTTTATATGATCACTTTTATTTTTTTGTTGAATTTCGTTCATTGTTTTTGTGGATTTCGTGTTTCATTACTTTCGAATTATGGCGATTTCTAGCTGTTCTGTTGCTTCTGGTGCGCTTGATTATCTTTTGTTCTCTTCGTAACTTCATTGTTCATTTCAGAAATATACGTATTCAGTGTTGAGTGCCTTTCTAAGAATCCGTTCTTTAGCATGACTTTTCCCTTCTCTCCATTTCATCAAAAATCGAAAATCAAAGTTCCATGACAGTTCAGAGCAGCTCACAATGATACTTTTTTTTCGTAGAAATCGCGCAAAAGCGATTCAAATTGAGCACGTCATCTGTTATTCTCCATTGTCGATGTTATCGTTAATCATCAGTAACTTTTGATGTTACCGTTAATTTCTGAATCTCTTCAATGCGATGTTTTGTAATGAACGACAATATTGTGTTATTATCTGACAGCAATTGTAGTTGTCAGTCGTTCAGCGAATGCGCTTAATCATGTGCAATTGAAACGAATGATTTTGTGGATTGATTCAAGTCGAATTCTTATTTGTTCATATGTCGTCTCACATTTCTAATTTCATCTGTAATCTTATGTGCATCTTATGTGCTTGTTCCTCTTGTATCATTCTGGATATGTCCTTTAGCAAATCAGTTGGCTTATTCATTTTTATCACTCACAAAGGGGTGTTCTGCACTTGTTTATGTCTCTACTGCAGTAGGCAGATAGATACTCTGTGTCGTGATAATTTCGATTAGTGATAAAATATATTCTAAATGTTTGATTGATCTATTTCTAAGCTTTCTTCATTGTTGCTCCTCACTTAGCTGTTTTTGTATTCGAAATTTCATTGACTTGCTTGCTACTTGCTATTCACTGTTTTTCTTTTAATTTTTCATTTTTTGCTTAATTTTTTCTCTTTTATTCGCGAATATAATGATTAATTTATGGTCAAAACGACTGATCGACGGAATCGAAGAATGAAATTCGAACAAATGAATCACTAATAAACACGTTCTCATCCGATTTTAGTGCTATGTTAATTTTGATTACCGTTTTGTCAGCATTTGGTGACTGAACCGTTTGCATGCAAATATCGAACGACAGTAATCGAGAACAGTTCTGACTGAATGCAGATATATTCACTCCGCTGCGAAGTCTCCCAAAATGAGTAGTCTTTCTGTGTTTCATTTGCACACGCAATGCAACGTCAACATTTCCAACTGACTCTAGCATTTCGATGAGTGACGCACCGCCGTTAATTCGTATGCGGTTATCAAATCGACAAGCTATTTATCATAACCGCAGTGTAAATTATCATGAAATAATGCGATTAACAGGCGTATGTAATATTCAAATTCGGGGTTTGCCACGTAAACAAACGTTTCTCAAAACTCAGTTAATAGTCATTCACTCCATTCTATCAGAAAATCATTCAAAATCATTCATATACGCCGCATTATTCCAATTGTTTCCCCTCAAACGGTCTTTTTTTTTGTTTTGCAATTCAATGTCGGCAAAATCTTGACACTTCACAATAAATTTGTAAAGCAGCAATATACTGCAATAGTTTAATCGTTTTCGTTTGTGAGCGATTCGGTAGATGAAGTGAAAAGCAGGATGGTTCAGTTGAATCAATCGTAACTTATGAGAGATTGTTGCTGGTGAATGGTTTGCCACGAATATGGTTAACGATTCTTTTGTGATGGTGTTTGTGAAACGACAGCTGTACAAAGAAGATTCGGGCGTAGGGGTGTATCTTTTTTAAAGCGGATGATATGACTCGTTGATGTTTATTCATTGTCAGTGCCATACATAGAAAAAATGAGTTAACAAGGATTATAAGCGTGCATTTGGTTCCACTTTGAGGCCATTTTTCGTTCGGTTTATTCTGCTTTCGGTTGATTTCTGAGAAGTCAGATGTGATCATTGTTTAATTGAAATAAGATATATGAAGTGGTAATTAATCGCAAGTAATATTGATAAAATGCAATACGACTATTAATTAACAATGGAAAATGCGTAATGATACAATTGAACTGATGAAAGCTGACGAGTGAATGGAATCTAGTTCAGGGCGATGCGTGTTCGAAGAGATGTTTGTCGAGCGATTTTGTTGACGTCGTTGGTGTGGATGCTGGTCGATGTGCTGGTTCTGTTCCATTACATCGATTCAGGATCTTCTTCTTCATCATTGTATGCTTTCATTTAATGAGTTTTCAGTTCGAATTGATATGAAACTATTGATTTTGTTGTTGTACCGTGTCAAACGTTCATTTAGCTGATTATGAGTAATAGAGTATTGTGTGCTATTGCATAGAGCACTATTTGTTTGAATTATGAGCACGTTTCATTGTAAGTGCAAATTTTGTTTAGAAGCATAATTGGCTGCATCAAAATTTAGAAGAGCAAAATCGGCAGCAAAATTACGAGCTGAGCGCATACCCGATAATAAGGGTCAGGATGATGGTGGTGATGATGAGAAAGAAAAAGATAATAGTATTCGCAAATCGAATGCTGAAACAAAATTGGTGAGGTCTGCGGCTGACGTTGAAGTGCAGAATCGATTAGATGATCTCTTAAGAGGTTTGCAGTGAATGTTTTCTTTATAAGCATCATTACTTATCATCATACCAGCATTTTGTACTAAGTAAATGATGGACATTGCGAGTAGTAGGATGAATTGAAATAAGTCAGTGTTTAGGTTTATCATTCTCAAATGGTGGACCTGGTGAGATGGGTAGTGGGGTGCTTATCGATGCATCAAAAGAGAACGAACGAAAAGAGAAGTTCAAATTGAATCAGTTCAATTTAATGGCTTCAGATATGATGTCAATCAATCGGACCTTACCCGATTATCGTTCACGAAGGTTTATTCGTTCGTTTATTGCTAGTTATTATATCATCTCAGGAAATATACCTCTTAATCTTGTGCTGTCAAACTATCCTCTCGATGATATTTAAGATGTGTTCAAAACGCAGAGCAGTACAAGGACTTGGACTTGCCACCAGTCTCGATCATAATCGTGTTTCATAATGAAGCGTGGAGTACTCTTCTGCGAACGCTGCATTCAGTGATGAACCGCAGTCCACTGCGACTAATTAAAGAAATCATCCTCATTGACGATTTCTCTGAACGAGGTTTGTCATCTTGCAGTTTGCTTTCAGGTCGAATGTTTATTGCAGTGACATAATCTCTCTGTTCTAGACTATTTAAAAGAACCACTCGATCTGTATGTGCAGCGCTTTCCAATTCTTGTTCAAATAGTACATTTAAAGGAGCGTTCTGGACTGATTCGTGCACGTCTTGAAGGCTCGAGACTATCGAAAGGAAAAGTTAGTGTGTTGTTCGTTCGCTCGTTTGTTGAGTTGATGTTTCGGCTCGCGATTCATGCACTCGTCATTATTGCAATCATTACTATTACCTATGCATATAGCAACGTATCTCTTAAGATATTACTATTCCTGGACGCTCATGTAGAAGTGACTGACGGCTGGCTAGAGCCATTAATCTCTCGAGTGGCCTCAGATCAAAAGCGGGTGGTAGCGCCGATAATCGATGTTATTTCTGATGATAACTTCGAATATATCACTGCTTCAGATACCACTTGGGGTGGATTCAATTGGCATCTTAACTTTAGATGGTATCCGGTAGGTATTTCCTTATCATTTTTATTACAACTGCATTCCATGGCACGTTTACTCTTTTAATGTGTGTGAACGCAACGAATATAAATACGAAATCTTGTTTTGAGTGCAGAGTAGAGTTTGGAGTACCTATGCGCTATGATTGTTGCTTGATCAAATGATTCATATGATTTTTAAATTTCAGGTTCCAAAGCGCGAAATGGAAAGGCGCAATCATGATCGTTCATCTCCCATTCAGTAAGTGATTTACTCTTAAGACGGTATCATATTTGGTATGATTCAGTGATTTTCAAGTGACGGGTGAGTTTAGCAGGAAGCTGAGGATATTAATGAGTATTAACTTGGCCAAAATACCTCATAAAGAGTCGTGTTAGGTGATTCATAAAGCTAACCAACCATGAAATTGCGATAAAAATTGTGATGCTTAAGGACTCCAACGATAGCTGGCGGTTTGTTTGCGATCGATCGTCAGTTCTTCTACGATATTGGTGCATATGACGAGGGAATGCAGGTTTGGGGTGGAGAAAATTTGGAGATATCTTTTAGAGTAAGTTTTGTTGTGATTCGTCGAGATCAGTGAGATAAGAAGTAGCGGTGGTAGTATCAGAGTGAATATTACTGATGCAGGTGTGGATGTGTGGTGGCAGTCTAGAGATTCATCCATGCTCGCGCGTCGGTCACGTCTTCCGTAAACAAACGCCGTACACATTCCCGGGCGGTACTGCACGAGTTATCCATCACAATGCAGCACGTACTGCTGAAGTTTGGATGGACGATTATAAGAAGTTCTTTTACCAAGTTGTACCCGGTTGGTTAGTTTTCTTTAAGCGTACCCTAACTGAAGTTCATCAAACATTCATAATAATTATAGCTGCAAAAAACGTTGACATCGGTGATCTGAATGAGCGGTTGTCGTTGCGAAAGAATCTGCAGTGTCGCACGTTCAGATGGTACCTCGAGAACATCTACCCAGAAGCACCGATTCCAGTCAACTTTAAGAGTATTGGACAAGTCAGACGTGCGATTAATTGTTTTGCATCACCTTCAATGAATCGACCTTATAAGATGATTCATCTGAATTCACCGCTTTCAGTTCAAGAATGTGGAAACGCAGCGATGTCTTGATACGCTTGGAAATAAGGAAGGAGGGCTAGCTGGTACAGCAACGTGTCATGGAATTGGTGGTAATCAGGTGAGTGATTTTATGACGCGTTTCTTGTTGAGTTGATTTGAATGAGTGAATTAAGGCTTGGAGTTTTACGTCGAACGGTGAGGTTCGATCAGATGAAATCTGTTTAACGCCTAAAGGCAGATCACAGCGAACTGAAATAATGGAGGTGATATTAGAGAAATGCTCAACAACAGGAACGAGTCGAAATCAGCAATTTGATTATGACGTTCAGGTGAGTAATTTGCATCCGAAATTGATTCTCATCAAAAATTCGTCATTCGATGGAAACACTCAACAATTGTTCATTTTCAGACGACGTTGTTGAGGCATCGTGTGTCAGGTGGTTGTTTAGAGTTGGAGAGTGAGGTAACACTACTCATTAAGAAATGTAATCCAACGTCAGGTTCGCAACGATGGGAACTTGAGGGATACAAGGAATAGCATCATTTCATTGCACATTTCACCTCTTCTCGTTCCGCAAATGTATCTTTTCAAAGTGCCTCAATCTACGCTCTGATTCGGTTCTGGGTTTAGTCTTTCCATAACTTTGATCGTCTAATTCTATTTTCTCTCGTTTCAAGACTCCTCACTTTTGAAATTTGGGGCACTTTGTTTCATACGCTAATGGAACGTCGTACGTTTATAGATATATATCTATATATATGTTAACTCAAATTTTGTTGATCTTTGTATGAAACTCATGCAAAATTAGCATCTTCGGTGTTGTGATCGTGTTGTTGTTGCTAATTGTTTTTACCCACATTTGTTTTTTTTTTACAATCATACCGTTGATTGTTTTTACCCACATTCAATGCTAAACATCGTTTCCAAGCACACCTTTGAAGCATTGTTCGAATACGAAAGGTATTCGACGATTTACCCACATCCAATGCTAGCAGTCAACAAACGATTTATATAAACCGTTTTGGATATTTGATTGTTTTCTTATAAAGTGAACGTCTCACGTAAATGTATTTTCCTATTGATTCTTCCATCTTTTCGGGCATCTAAACATTCATCTACTTCAAAATTCACGAGTTTCTTAATCATCTTTCTAAGATTTAATTATCCTTTATAATGTCAGTGAACGAGTAAAATTGTAGTCTACAAGTGGCAATATACTTCACGAATAATAATGTGAATAAGAAAGTGTCTAAAGCAACCGTAAATGATAACGTTTTCAATATATCGCAAAATTTGCGATGTTTCAATACGTTGGCTGTGCAGTCAGAAAGAAATTGTTGCAGTTCTCATTATGCAGTCTTATTTATCCAATAATTCGCTTCGATATTTCTTTAATTTGTCTTTTGTCTGATGCAAATTCACTTTGATGGTTTCGGTTGTGTTGCGTTTATTCGAATGTGTCTCATTTTGCATTCCGTCTCGATTGTTCCTTACTGATTGTACTTATTAAGCAATTGTATCAGTTTATTTTTATTCAGCATTAGGTATTCGTTTGTTCGTTCGTTCGATTGCCAAATTGTTGGCTTATTTTATATGTATTATCTCCTAAATGAAATGATCGAAAATTTTATATGGTTTATTTCGGTACATTTTGGTTAGTGGCATATTCGATGAATGAATTAACTGCAAGTGAATTAGCCAGCTTCCAGCTCTCAAATTGTTTTATTTGCTTGCAATAATCGCTTGTGAATGAGAGCGTTTGCTCGTATCACTGTTGGGTATGTAATTGGTTGATTGGTTGTGATAGATATACTTAAGGGCATAATTATTAAAATTGCTGGTGATGTCATGTCATGTCATGTCATATAAGCGTTACTCATTGTTTTGTTCGCGTTATCTGTGATTTTGTTGAGTTGATAATTTTATTGTTGTTCTCAATCCCGAATTATTGGCGAAATGCTCATAAATAAGTCTTTTACGGTTGTGAATGATTCGAAATTCTCATCAGTGTTTCACCAGTTCAGACTGGGTTTATGAGACGTTTCGAGTTCTCTCATGAAACTATTGCGGATGCTTGGCAAAATTCATTCATATTTTCGAAAAACTTTGGGCAAAAAGAAGAGTTGTTCGTGAGTGGTGAATGCTGAATTGAAGGGATACACTTGCTCAAGATAAACACTACTGAAGAACTATAGGAATTTAAAGATACATGTGCTTTAGCACAGTATTTCTACGAATGGCTTGAATCACGAGACGTTCAAGTTCGCGTAGGAATTTGTTTTCAGTCCATTGATTGTTCTAAGTGTCTGGTCATGATCGAAATTGTCGTGACATTTTGTACGCCCATCGATAGAACACTACCATCGACTTGATAGAGTAATTTTGGTTAAAAATGATATCAGAGTAAAGTAAAAAATGGTGCAGTTTTAAAGTGTAATTTGCTGGGAAAAATAGAAAATATCAAGAGTTTGATGGTTCGAACTGAAAACAGTAAACGGCATAAAAAGTTTGATGTTGAACGGTAAACAATATGAAAGATTCGATTATGTTATCGTTTAAGGGTCAACGATCCAAGAACTTCGACCACATAGGAAAAGTTTGAAGGTTTTCTTTGAAGAAGTAATCTAATCTACTCGAGAATAACATTTCGGCAATGATTGATTACGCATAAGATGTTATCTTGAAGGATAAATGCACTATAATATTACGGATACGATGTGATGTGAACAATGCATATTTATCATTAAGTTTATGTCCATGACGATTATTAAATAAGTTATTTGACATTAATAGCCGGGCTGCAATACAGCCTAAACCACTGTTGCGTACAATTGTATCCTAGTTCATCTTCTAACTATCATACAATACAATTGTGCATGTGCTAGATTTGCTAGTCGAACAGGCCACTTTTTCTGAGTGCAGCTGATCGGTGCCACTTCAGTCGGGTTCGCGGAATGGGTCATCAAGTTCTGCAGTGGATGGATGGATGGCTGATGTGAACGTTGATGATCACTTTGCGCTATACAGATCTGTGCTCACTGAATAATTTAGTGAAATTTTGGTTATGAAATTCTCGAATGATATACAACTGAATACAAATAGACACGTGTTCAAGCGGATTAGAATGAAAGTGATCAAATAAATCGTAGTATAACAATAACTATATGAGATGTATGCAGATGACAGACCATAAATGGATAATATTATAACAAAACAAGAACAATGTACAAATATTCAATAGCGTTTGAGTGCAACATCGAACAAATGAACGGTTCTGTCGAAAGTTTATTGAAATGATACAGATCAGTGCCTCTCATGCTGTCTTAGTCAGCGGTCACCCTTCCATCCGACTCTTTGACAATATAACAGACCGTCGGTCTTTCCAGTAATCATTTTTTACTTGTAAGTGACAAATAAGAACGAATTCAAACTGCTCATTTAAGTTTGTTGTCAAAAATTCGAGAATTCGACGATGATATCAGAGAAGTGAACTCTTTTGTTCAAAACAACCTTTCAAAAACATTACTGAACATATGCACTAAAAACTCAACCAGAATTTATTTGTCAACCTCCTTAAATGTCCCCTTACATCCTCGAATTTCCAAAGGAGTCTCCCTACGAAAAGCACTCTTATAGATAAGTAGGAATGGATAGACATTAAGAGATGCAGTGATGGATAATTATCGAAAAGAATCTTACAATTAATCGCAATATGATCATAAGATTTGTACAATAATTTCTGGATGAATATTGCATGTGAACGTTTTTAATGTATTTGCATAAGTAGTTATAATATAATATAATATAATATTATGTTCAGCCACAATCAGTCATCAAAATGCAATAGAAATAAAATAAATGTTAACGCGCATTATCACCTCCATCCAGGTTTTGTTATTGAACCGGTTTTGATTAAAGCTGGACGAGATGCTGTACTACACGAATCTGAACGTTTCATCGAGTGTCTTTCGTTACTGTTTGCTGATGGAACGCTTCCGTTGGGTGTATGAATTGCTGTTAATGTTTTGCGAGGTGAACTGGCACCTGGGAGAGGTGTAGTGGATGGACGTGCTAGAGGTTTGGGGTGGTGAGATGGTGTTGGATGGCGGATATTGGAACGGGTCTGGGGATGAGGTTGGCTGGGTGTTGCTTTCGAAGGAGTTGTTGGACGTGATGTTCGTTGAGCTGTAGTCGCGAATGACTTCACTCGTGCTGCGGGAGGATGTGCGAGCGTTGTCGTTGTGGATGATGGTACGTTGGCATCGGTGGACGGTGATCCGACGGTGACATTTCGAGGTGCCGCCTGCGGTCGTGTCGAAGTTCGAGCCGTGTTGCTGGTGGTAGTAGGATTACGAACTATCGACACTATTGTTGGTGAACGAGTCGAGATTGGCTTATGAAGATTCGTAGAAGGCGGTCTGCGAGTTAGTGGAGTTGTCTGAGTAGGTAGAGGACTGAATCTGCCTTTGAGAGCGCTTGATGAAGGTGTTGTCAGCGAGTTAGGATTAAGATCTTTTGAAGATGGTGCACTGTGAGGTTTTGGCAATGACGACGCGGATCTTTTCTGCACTTGTTTCTGCGGTGTTGCTGAATTCATATGCAGCTTATCACGTTCCGTCGGTCTTACAGATGACGATAAACGTTTGGCAGCGGTGCGTTGCTGGGGGAGTGCGATTCGATTGGGTGTTGGGTTGGGATGTGAAGGCGATAGTCTAGCAACATTTGGCGTTGTTCTGTGGACATTTTGACGTGACGTGTGTGATGTTGCTAATTGTAAGGATGGAATTCGTTGCTGAGGCGGAGGGATCGACGTGGTTCGGGTGACGGGTTTTGATGCGATCGGGGTATGTGGCTGATGGGTACGTGGCTGAATCGTGCTACGTACCGGGAGACCATTGCGACGATTCGGTGTAGCACTCGCGGCACGCGGCATATTACTACGACGTGTTGTTGTTTTTGCATTAGCATTATTATTATTGTCAGTGTTAGTAACGCTGCTATTATCAGTAGTATTTTTGTTGTTACGATTGTTTTTATGAATCTTAATGCCATTACTATCGTTGTTATTCGGTTGCTGAACGTTCTGTTGTTGTAGACAAGTGTTGTTGGAGGATGGCGTTTGCGTTTCAGAATTGATCTCGATGTAATGGACACAACTTGACGTGGCAGTGCTACGATCGTCATCATGAGCAGCGTTCTTGTCGATAAGAGTTCCACTTAAAGAAGTGGCTGCTTGTTGCTCCGGTATCACCCTCACCACTGGTGTTATACTTGGTGCAGTCGTGGAAGCTGTCGAACATGGGATGACACTCAGATTTGCCTCTGCTGATTTATGCTCACTCTTATCCGATTCGAATCCCTCATCGTGAGCTGTCCTCGCAGTCGGCGATGAGCCTATGGATGATACACTTCCTGAATCACAATTATCTTCTAGTACTGCGACTATTATTGTCACACATTATCAATGTTTTTGTCATTGTTATAATCGAATCACAATGTCCTCTTGATGGTGGCGTCAAACGCTGAATCTGTTGATTTTCAAATGAAAAAAAATCGCTTTTGGCGGTTCTATTAAACAATACATTAAACCAGATATCCGGATCAAATCATCAGTAGAAGAGATATGGAATGTGGACTGTTACATAAATGATTCTATAATTCTCCTGTTTACAATTATTTTCAAACTCAGAGTTTGAAGATGCTCACCTGATGCATTGGCACTGTCAACTACAGCTTCTATCAAGGGTCTGTTGTGAATTGGTGAATGTCTCTGAAAAATAGAAAACGAATTATTGATATGATTCAACACTGAGCACAACTGCATCGATACTTGAGAATGGTTGATTTTAGAACTTTTATTTTAAATGATTAGAGATTTGATGTGAACCTCAGAAGATCCTCGAATCGCTTCTTTCTCCACTTGTTCGGCTGCATTCAGGAAATCGTCTAAATTTTGACTGTTTCGCACAAGAAATGCATCACTACTGTGCCTTGACTGCCGCCTTACTCTCAGTACCGTTGGCGTATGGTCTGACTGCAATAAAATGTTCTAATTACTCATAGATGGTGTGATTAGAAGCGATTTCCCAATTCATCATTAATTGAGCAAACCCCTTCTTAATCTTAACAATATTGGAAGGACACATGAGTGTTGAGAATCAGACATCAGCTTGAATGAATTTATTTTCTCATTTCTTTTCATGCAAGCAAATAAATGTATAAATAGACTCATGTCGAGCCATGATGAGCATGTGACATTTCGTGGGAAACTGCTGATAAACAAAGTAATAGACGTCTTAAATTTCCATGTTTTTAGCACCATGTGAAAGCAATGTACATACAAGATATATAACTGTAAACAAATAAATGAAACGAATGAAACGTTGAGATTGTAAATGATAAGCGTGATGGTATTTGGTATGCAAATCTGATGACTTTGCAAAGTTCATCTTATCAACCAATCCAATCCTCATCATCGCACATGAGTTACTTCATGCAGTAAAATTACAATATTATTTCGAATATATTCAGTTGTGAAGTACTGAGTTGCGAAAATAATATTTGCAGAGGTAACCGTTGGACTCTGAATTTCGAAATGTATCGCACTTCGGTCTTAATAATTGTGCAATGCAATTTATTGAATTTTTTATCGTAAGTAATCGCATTATAAACAAATACAGTTCATATAACTTGTCCTTTGCCGTCACCACATAATTTGTCCTATATAAGCGAACACCAAAGTCTCCGGCTAGCCCCATAAAAAGTCTAGGCTTTTCTACGAGTAATTCTTGGTATTTCATGGTTGTCCTCAAGTACTTTCAACCTGTCTGTTGTTCTTAATGAAAGGTCTCGTTTCGTTCCCGCAACATACAACATATCCCACCACAATGAGTATTTGTTTCATTTGAATGACGTTCATTTCATTCAGGGAAGAGTGTTTGATGTGTTCTTAGGTTTATGTTTCGATTCATAAAATCGAGCGAATATTTTGGGTTTTCAATGAAAAGTGATGATGAAGATCGACTGATAGAGAATCATTGAACAGAAAGACATTCGTTGAAATGACGATGTACCGACCTCGTCATCGGGTTTCAGCAGACTACGACTCGTCCGTATCGATCTGCACGTTCGTCGCAGCTCACTCTCACTACTCGATTCATCCTCAAAATTCAAATTGCTCGGCGTACTACCGATCGCCGAGGACTGAGATCGTGTTCGTATTTGTCTATCGAGTCCTCCACTGCAAAAAAATCCCACTGATAATAATTCTCAATTAGTCCAATAATATTTGATCAACTGCAGCGAATTCACCACCACCATAATCCAAACGAAACGTCTTTACTTAAACCTATCTATGTTTCTTTGGTTCGTTACCTCAATATATGAATTGCTCTCATATGTGCGCTTGATAGTCGAATTTGAGTTCTGCTATTAGGGCTGAAATATGAATTCTGGAATGACACGAGAGAGCATTTGAAATATATTTGATTGTGTGCCTTTAATTATCGTTATATAAGCAGAAGTGTTCAGAGAAATGAATTTGAGCAACGAATTGAAACAAATGTGATATGGAACGAAAATATGCATGTATACGTAGGGATATGCATGTGATGATAATAAGAAAATCTCACTCGGTCTGAAGAACGCTCACGAGATGTTTATTGTTGGATAGGTCGAGATTGGATGAGCTATGCTGAAGATTATTTTGCGAACTCATTGCGCGCATTTCACTCCGTCTTTCGTGTTTTATTCGTTCTTCGTTATCCTGAATTGATATTCTTTGAGTGTGCTCCTCAATAAGAGGCAAACATTCCAATTGTCGATTGTGGCATTCGTGCACTTTTTTAAAGAGCACATTGAATGGGGAACGTTGTGATAGATTAGTTTTTGTGCATCGATATGACGATAATTAGCTGCCGTGATTGATTCGTTGTGTAATCGTATTAATGTTTGCTCCATTGAGGTGCACTATTATCGTTCATAACTTTTGAGTGGGTCGTTTTACAAGTGAACATTTTGTGTGTAACTGCGCGATAGTAGCTTACTTTCAAGGCGTCATGCAGACGACAGACGAATGTTGAGAGAATTTTGAAGCATTCCTCCACTTTGAATACCTTCTCATCCTCACAAAAATATAACGCCAATTCGATGATCAACTCACTGACTTGTTCCAATTTCTCCTCCACTTCCCGCATACTCGTTTTGGCTTCCTGAAAATTTTTCTCCATTTTCATGAGGAAACAGAATGAGACGTTGAGTACATAAGGAATCGTTGATTATTGATCTGACTAAGACACGATAGCTGATGAAATCACCTCAAAGTGTGCACTTAAGCCCTCAAAGTATGCATCTTCAAGCGCTTTCGTTTCGATCTGACCACCAATCCGAACAAGTTTATCGCACAGTGTTCGCACTTCAGTGCGTATACTCTCCAGTGACAACCTAGTAAAATATTTTCGCATTACACTCCAATGCAACAACAAATTATGTTCACCATCCAAAAGCGTCGCCAATGAAAATGCACTTTAACAAAAAAATATTGTAAAATCTTACTTAGCGGCCGCAGGTACGGTTTTCAGCTCTTGCGAAAGGCTTTCGGCACACTTTACATTTTGCTGTAATCAACAATTCACTTATGTATGGGAACGATTAGATCAGTGCTTCTCAATATTATCCGTCCAATTGCCCACCTGTACTAGGTTCACGGTCCCCTCCCTCCCCACCCCACTTTTCCTTTAAGTGCAGCAATATTCACTAGCCGCTTCCAAGAGAAAGGAGTAAGCCGCCCATTGTAACAGTTCTACTCTTTTTCGATAGAATCGCACCCTCTAAACACCGTTTTTGCCCACGATTGGTGATGATAATAATACCCAGTGAATTAAAATGTCACTTATTATCCAAATAAGAGGTTTAATTCACTAGTAACACACACCATAGCGATGAAGTGCAGCAGTGTTATGCTCTTCTTATTCGCTTTCATGTCGACTATTTTCCACAATGAGTTCAACTTGAAACCAGCCGCATTACCGCAACTGCCATTCGCATTCAAAAAATTACCGATTTGTACGAGCATACAGAATAGTTTTGGTAGTGAAGTACTCTGCTTTATTTCTGAAATTGAATGGAAGCATGATCAAACATTTCTTTCGTTTTCTTAATTTCTGCTCAGAATGTGTTAGTAGCCGGGCAGAGCGTCTTCTGTCCCGCTATTGATGAGTCTCATTTTCATTTCAGATTGCAAATTGGTATGCTAGCAGAGCAAGAGCAGACGCATTAATGAAATGTAGTCAGTGAACGATCACCGTTCGATGCAGCGATGATCAATTCGATTTGAGGAATTAGTGTATCGAACGCTGATTCCAGCTCGATCTTCAGAATGAGACATTCCAGTTTCAGTCTGTAATCGCTTAGTGTTAACAAGTTCAAGAAGAACTGCTCGGCTGGACCCAACTGTGCCACATCACCACTGAATCCTCGTAGAATCCCAATCTGAAAAAATTTCTTCTATATTTACGAAGGAATTTGAAAATGTCGCATCGTTTGAGGATTTGTGCGGCGAGCAAACGAAATAATGATCCCTTGGAGAATATTCATGTCAGTTGAGAAGTAGTTCTACAAGAGGACAGCGAAACTGAAATTGACGCTGAAAAAGACATTCCAAAGCGATAGATACCTCTTCACTGTCCGGCAGAATGTTAACAAGTGCGTTCAATCTTTCCAAACCAATTAAATCGCCTCTTCCTTCACGTATATAGTTCACAACTTGCAACGCTCCTGCAGCCTTACTTTTACTTCTTCATTTTTGAATTGATTCATTATACATGCATCAGACACTAAACGCCTATTTTCGACTGATAATGAGACTAAATTCAAAAGGTTTAGCCATGAGAGCTTATCACTGTAGGTTAGCAGTATCATAAAAGTTCATTTCATTGAACACACCTTCTTTGAATTGCTTGATGAAAATACTGACATTGAAGCTGCGTTTGTGACTCAACAGAGTAATCTGCTCACTCTTACGCACACTTTTGTTGCGTTCTGCACTTAATGACTCGTTCAACAAAGAAGCTCCACAAGAGAACATACACTCTAATTCGTCGAAATCGACGCTTAACTCTGTAATTTTTGATTATTTCATTCATTGCTGCACTTAACCGACGATTATCAATACTTGATCGTTTTCAGTTCTTGATCACATTGATCATTACTCACTAACTCTCAATCAGAGTAAGTCTTTTTTGCGTTTGTATGAAATATCGCTTATCTTACTGAGCTGATAACGAAGTGTCATGTGCTGAAAAGGTGCTATAATAAAACTGAATAAATGCGCTCAAACGAGCCAATAAATACACTTAAAGATTAACTAAAACAACACATCAACTCTAAGCCAAACAAAATGATGTGCGTTGACGTTATCACAGATACAATCATCTGAATGACGTTCAAAATTTCTTTTCTGATTCTTGAACTTTTCGATTTTGAAGCATTTGCACACTCAATCGCATCATAATTATTTGATTACTAATGAAGCATTTTGACAGCAGTTTTCAAATGCTGAATGCTGTTTCAAAGAATTATGTGAAGGATGAAATGCAGCTGAAGTCATTGCACTGACCATTTTCATTGAGTTTCGTCGATGACATCCAAACATTACGCACACTCTCCTCACCCCCATCAACCACCTGAAAATGGAATGTCTGACATAGCTATCTTCTTCTTCACTGCTTCGTCTATTTGATATCCAGCACTGTGAGCAATAGATGCACATTACAGATATACTCAAATAATTTTTCTACATGTCCAAAGCAAAAAAGTTTACATAGGGTTTCGCTATTTTTAGAGTTATTATCAATTTCAAATTACTTAAAATTTTTCGGAACGAAAATAAAGATGACGACATGTTATGAATAATTGAATCATTACGTGACTGATTAAATAGTGAATTCGGTAATAAATAATTCGTGGTAAGAAGCTATCATAAGAACGGTTTTCCAAATTTTTGATTATTCTCATCCTAATAGTATCAAGCAAAAATATCAACGACAGTAACGGTTGACGCCTTAAAGCAGCTTTATTCAAACAAAAAATGAAGCTAAAGCTGGGATCTCCAATGGGCGCTTTGCAGTGCTTCATAACAGCGGCTCAGAAATCAACTGTAAACACTTCAAAAACCTTTTCAGCAGGTATTTTTGTCCACTGAATTTGTTTGAGTTTAGTTCCTTGTTTAGGCATCGCTTTTGGTCTGAATGTTGCTGGTATTTCAACTTTTGGCTTACAAGCGAGGTGGGTTGGTAGCGAATTGTGAGACGACTTCAATTCGAAGGGGGGTGGTGGTGGAGCAGGAGGAGTTGAACCGTATGTTGATGAGAATGCAGGCTGAGGTTGAGGTATGTTCGATGAGGATGGTAAGGGCGGGGGTGGAGGTGGGGGCGGCGGAGGAGGGGGAGGGGCAGATACAGATTCACTGGTTGACGGCGGGAACACTTTGACGGATGTCGGTGATGATAGACAAGATAACTTGGATCCTGATGTAATTCTCTTCAGTGATGCATCTGAAACGGTGTGATGACGCTAGCTGATGATAAGTGCAATAAGATGAGCTGATAAGTATTCCGTTGAAAGATACACCAGAAAAGTGAAACTGACCTTCTAGAATGCCCTCTTTGCCATCCTTTCTCAATATCGCCATTATCATCTCGAAATCTTTCTGAAATCATCTCTGCTTATTCAGCGAAAGCTATCGTTAGTAAGTATCATTTGAGGAATGCTGCAGCATTTCTGATTACTCGTCATTCTTTGTCAGTTTACCGCATTGCGAAAACTTTTTCAAGTAGTTGCGTTTTGATCGTTCGGAAAAGAACACAATCAATGTTTTTATGATTATATGGGAATGATTATAGCGATTTTGCATAACTGACCTTACTGCAGGTTGTATTCAAGATCTCTTCCACCACTTTCATATAGACCGCATCTGTTGGACTAGATTTAAAGATTTTTATTAGTTGCATCAACATATTGTCAGTGTCACGCGAGTCATCTCCACTCTGCAAATTATCACCTCGTGCTTTTCATTCTAATCTTTTCATACTGCCTTCAAAAATCATTCGAACAGTGTCACTAAAACTTACTTTCTCTGAAGTTTTATCATCCATATGACTGAGGCTCATCGCATCACTCTAAAACAACATCGATTATACTCATGTGACACTCCTTAAAAGTTTGATTGAATATGATGAAAGAAATCTATCACAAACGCTTCTAACAAATAAGAACTGCATATGAAATCTGGTAAAAAATCAGAGCTTCCAAAAGAGTTCGACTTAAAGAGATCAGTGGAGCATGATGAGCAATCAAAGTGATGTGTTATGTTTGGGCATAGCAAGGTTTGGTGGAGTTATAAAACAAAAACAACAATAATACGTGATTGATTAGTAACTGAGTATTAACGATAGCGATGGAATTCGATGCATTTGCATAATGCACAGCATTGCATCAGATATAATGCATGAGATAAAATTCAACGACGTAAAAAGTGAACGAACATTTGCAGATGTGCTTGATGGCGATCGCGGTGTTGTATTCGTACTGCTCATCATGTTGTCATCTTCGCTATCCTCGCTGAACGATGTCAAATCCTCTTCTTCGATCAGTGATGTGGACCGCTCTTAAATTCTTCGTTCCTTTTTTCGAATTGATTTTCTTATGATTGCAAAATTTGAACTAGTTTAGAACGTTTAAAAACAACCATAAACTGATCGAACAGCAGTTTTGTGCATAGGTTTTTATTGCTGTTGTTATTGTTGTTGTTATCAATCGAACGACACCCTCCCATAGGAGCAACTGATATAAAAGTTTGCTGATAATAAACACTTGCAAATGCATACCTCTCGAGAGTGCTTCACAACTCTGAACACGTTTCGAGTGCCACAATTCGATTTGCTCTTCAATAGCACGTTGCAACGTTCCTTCTTGCTTCGAACTTCTTAAATATGCGTTTTGCACTCAACAACAATCATTTACGATGTTCCTTTTCGTTCGTTCTCTACTGCTTACAACTCAACCAATAAAATGCTCATGCTCTAGCACAGACCAACACAAGTTCATGTTTCGCTTGACAGCAACGTGTCTTATCACATCACATTGAGGCAGCAGCATGCGAGATGTGATGTCAAGAAGGAGTCATTCGACCAGCATTCACTCATCGTTCCACTCGTCTTTTGAATTGGTGCTTGGTTAGTTACTCATTCAGAAAACAAAAGAAAAAAGAACATTCATAAATTAGCTGTTCACTCATCAATCAGATTTATTTTCAGCATTATTATTCGTGTGTGAATCAGAACATTTGGGATGTGTGCTACAATGGTAAACATTATTTATTCTCCTTCGTTTCTAAACACCCCCATCCATTCCAGAACAATCGCCATCACCATCATCATCTTTCCTGTTCGTTGCTTTATTCACATCTGTTGTTTGTTTCTCCACATGGAATTCGATAGAATTTATTCTATTCGTCATTTTTCGGATGCACGATGACCATACTCATCATCTACTCTGATACCATAACGGTTGTGAGATGAAATGGCTGTTAACTCAATCAACAATTGTCAAATGAATAATCTACGAGTGAACAACACACATTCGCTGTAACCTCATAGTAAACAGCGAACAATTATGACGGCTTTGGTACCGCAAGAAATGGTTTCGTACAAAGAAAACACCAATAAATTAAAAAATGCGTCTTTGTTAACAAGACGAAATTATTTTTTGGCTAATCATTAAACAGGGCATGGATTATTTATTCAAGAAATAAGTGAGGAATCGTATATAGATCGTAAAATTTTACTGAATCAGATTATGGCTGTAATGGATTGCGCTGTGCAGAAAACAAAACCTCTCAAATGTGTATTTCTCAAAGAGTGCAGTTTTCTTTCACGTCCGTCCAAGCAACCAAATAACAGCTGTCGAAATCATTAATGAGTGGTTCGACAGGAAGTTTAGTGGAATAAATGCACATATGTGGTAAGATTTAGTGCATAATAGTGTCAGCCAATGCTGTTTTTTTTTTGATGACTGACTTCGAGTGTGCAATTGTCCAATGAATAATGTACAAGTGAATGGAGATGAGGTGCGCGCGTTTCGGTCGGAGAAAAGAATTTTGAGTAAATGAACAAATTTAGAACAAAATAAAATTTTAAATGCAAACATATTACACCGAGATGAAGAATCTCAACGAAGACGGCGAATATTTTTGTGAGAATTATTTGAAGAATGTAGTGAACGGGTGATAAAGGAATATTTGAAGAACAATATCAAAAGGGTGCTGAATCAAGAATGGTTGAGATGTGCATACACACATGCTCATGAAACAAGCACTAGCCAAAACAATTTTTTGATTCGTTACGAGTGTGGGGGCATAACAAACAACAAACGATTGGATGGATATGCACTCAGTTCGATGCAGCAGCAATAAGATGTTGATTATTCATAAATCGGATGCGTTTATCACTTTTTGATTCGTTCGTTGATTTTTGTGGAAATATCACTTCCAAATATTTGCTTACGTAGGACAACAAAAGACATTTTTTGTTGCTGTCGTCATTGTGTGCAATTAAAGATCTCTTATGTGTGTTCTTTTAGAAGGCGTAAAGTGATGATGTGAAACTAATTTTTGGTATCCCTCTATTATTCCGTCAATCCGAAGTTCGAGTGAAAAAATGACGAAATTCAACGAGTGGAAATGTGGAATTATTTGGTCGATTTGGTCTGAAATTGAATTTGATAGAACAGTTCTTTTACTAACCTCAACTGGTCGATTCGTCCATCGATTTTCAACTCTGAAATTTGAAAATTTATCAATGCGAATTAATTAGTCTATCAATGTGCAATTAATCAAGATCAAACTCAAACTAAAATTGAGCGTATATCAGTATGGAATGGTTATTTGAAGCAATCAGATGTGCGAATGATGCGCTGCAAAAAAGGACTACTCGACATATGCAAACAATAGCAATGCATTATTAAATGGTGTGTGTTTCATTTCGGAGTATTGCTCGAAGGAGTGTCATAGTGCATCAACGCTTCTCATTTTAAGTGGAGTTGCATCAAATGCGATGCACTTGATCTGATTGATCATGATACGCTCATATTTGCACTTGCATTGATTCAAATGAAATCAATAAGCTCTTTTTAGGGATTATAATGCTCAGTAAACGAACTCCTCTTGTTCCGAATAAATCATCTCATACTGTAGCTCAAAAGTGTATATGATATGACTGACTTCGAGGGAACAGAGGGATCACAGAGAAAACTGAATGAAAGTATTGTTATCAGGGAATCGAACGGCAGAAGATGAAGCTTGTGCAGTACATTCACCCAATAGGCGAAGATACATCATGCAATTTCCTTTGTTTTTTGTTCAGAGTTTTTTCTTTGTTTCATATGCCACACCAGGGTATTACTGAGTGCTATCCTCGAGAGAGCGAATGATAAGTGGATATATTCGCATTTCAACAATCTTTCGAGCAAAAAACACCAGCAAATAAGACGAATGTGAAATTGAACTGCAAATAACGTTCGGATGTGTGACGAATTATTCGAGAATTTCGATTATGCAGTATTATTCGTCAACATATTTCTCGTCAACGACATCCAATGCAATCGATCCATTGCAATGAACGAATAAATACGATGAGAATTTCACAAATCTTTTCAAAGAGTTCTATAACATCGCTGTTGATGGACAACGGATGGCTCTAAGGTGCACAATCTTCCATGAAATCAAATCAAGCGCAACAAAACTCATCAAAATGTCCGTTGGAGTTCCGTTGAGTTGAGTGATTGCTGGAAAAAACACGAACGGGCTGAATGATTTCCGTCCGAATCGAATGAGAAATGCTATGGATTAGACAGAGTGAAGTATCCGCATACTTCAAAGCTTAATTCGTCAGCTCATCACCGAACGTTTCAATAGTCTTGTCAAGATGTTCGTTTACCAAATAAAAGCATAAATGGAATAAAACATTTGTTTTTGTGCGTCTCATTTCATCAAATTCCCACACTTGTTTTTATGTGTTCTACAAGACGAGTCAATGATTCAATGAGTTGCAACAGTGTGAAAACATTTGTTCAACGATGAAATCATCGAAACTGAATGCTGATCGTGCGGAAAGAAATATTTTCTTTTCTTTTGCACGTTCATAAACATTTGAAAAGCATCTCAGTAGTTCTAATGCTTACAATTAGTACATAAGAGATTTTCTCAATAAATTTTAAATATCCACTGGGAAAATACTTCGCTAAATTTGTTTCTGATCGAAGGAAGATTTTTTTCTTTTGCTGCCGACGTCGTTTTACGTCTGCCTTTAATTGAAGACGATTATCAGCGATTCTATTTGCTTTTGTTTTTTCAACTGTTTGGCTTGGAACTTTTTTGTTTGAATAGTAGATAATTATGTTTTATTTGTATGAGACGAGAGAGTGGATGAATGAATGATGTTTACGCATACAGACGATGAAGATTTATTGCGGGCAATATTCAAGGTTGAATTCAGGCATTTTGAGGGTATGCATGAACGAATTCTGAGAACAGCGAATGTGCAATAAGCGTAATGGAGTATGAACGAACAACTCACAGTCAGCACGAGTCTACAACGCGGTGGCAGCTGTACTTTGACGTTTGCACGCATTTTGCTTATATACACACATACTATATGCAACAGATGCGGTGATAGATTTTATTGCTGGATTACTTTATTACAAATACAAATAAATAAATGCTCCTCACGTAACCATTCACAATAAATAAATCAATCAATGAGAATATGCTAATAGCTGTCGTGCTTGATGAATACACCCACGATTATTTCAGTGTTATAGTCAAACCGAATTTTCGTTATGCACAATGAGTTGACATACAATAGAGCCCATGTGAAAATTCTACCTCTCATGCGATGTTTGAACATACGAAATTTAGAAGCATTTAGAAGCAAATGTGAGTTCATCCATAACGCGTCATTAAACGCATTTCAATGCTTAAAGCAGTTGTTACGTTTTGAGATGTGACATTAACCTAAACGGCTGGTTGGCTGTCAATTTGTGGGTAAAACATTCACTTGATTTGCTCGAAGAAATAAACAATTTATGGTTCATTTGGAACGGAGTGAATAAAAATGTCTGCTCACCTTTAAGTTCATGTTGCAGACGAATCTTCGCGATTGGACTTGGAGAATTGAGAAGGAGTTGATTGATGAGTGTCAAACTTCCCAGTTGTAGCGTCGGTTCATCGGAATGAAGCAACTCACTAGCGATTGGCTCAAGACACAGATTGGCACCAATCATATCCTGCACATTAAAAAAATGAAACTAACATCCAGACCGTTATAGGTTTCAATGGCTAATGATTCTTCTGGAAGGAAACGACAAATGATTCATCTATTTGATAAGTGACCGCTTAAAATACCCTTAAAACTTGACCACTATCGTCTGATATAATCACTGAATCATTGTCATCTACACGGTCGTTTTGAAAACTCAACTGCTCTCACCTCAGTCTTCAGTCTCTCATGAGTGCAGCTTACGATGTAAATGTAAACGTAAATGACTGAAATGAGTGTAACCCTACGATTACCCAGTCAATAGGTCAATGATATTTACACTCTGATTATACGATACTTCCCATATAACCCTTATCACTTCACTATACAATTGCATAACCATACTTAATTCAGTATTGCAGCATTCGAACTCATCCAGAATCATATCAGATGCCATTTGAAAGATGATTGCAATTGACAATTCACAAAAGTCAACAAAAACTCTCCCTGCACAATAAACAGACAGGAAAAAACGTGTGAATTGGATGCTGATCAATGTATTGAAGGTGCATAATACGATATTTATTCTCACTGAATTTGATATCGTTGATTCTGTATCGCAATGGGATTTTGCAGCCCAAAAAACTTGTTTTGACGATGAAAAACAAAAAAGAGTAGCTCATATGACATTGTTGATGAACTCTTCTGAGAGGATGCAAAAAGGAATCGCATCATACTTCACAAACATTTTTGAGTGAGTATTTTTCATTGTGTTCTTTTGTGTTGCGAGTGATTGTTATCTCGTTTTTTTCGGTGTCCATATTCACTCAAAATGACACAAGAACGATCAGCATTAAATCGATTTGATGTACTCTCATTGAATTAGTTTCATTGAACCGAGTGAAAATCAAAACGAAATTCGAACATTTCTGAGAATGGAGAGAATGAAGTTCGAAATTGTTTTCTGTCGCAAACACATCAAATGCAAAAATATTTCGCTTGTTCAAGATGCCATCAGAAATACATTCGCTGTGCACATTATCGTGCTATCGTATCAACTTTATTCGACAGTTTCGATTATCGACACATGGCAGCACAACGACATCCGTTCAAAGTGCACACTACCGTTCGTCAATATTCATCTCCTTACATTCTAGTGCTAACCTCAATGATCTATCCCATAAATTCTTCTATCTGCGAAAGACTTTGCGAAGAAACTTTATCATCAAACAAGATCGCGTTGAGGAATTAAAAGCTCTTTCAGGAAAGCGTATGAATGAAATCACTATTCATCTATGAGTCGAAATAAATTTGCAAAATATTTGAAATCAAAACGAAAATTTTCTATTTTACTGGAAAATTCTGCAAGCAATTCGATCATTTGATTTAATACTTTGAGCGATTCTTCTCATTAGAACATGTTACGTCAGGATGGTTGCGATTGACTGTTTATGCTTGACGTAAAAAACCGACAAAAAAGTAACATTAGTGTGGCCATTAACCTCAGCAGATCGGAGCTGTCTCAAATGAAAAAAGATTTATGGGGAAAAACGCATCTGATGAATAACTCTTCTCTATTCCTGATCACCACTCGGCTCGATTAGTAATTATCGTATTTTGAATAGAAAAATTTACCATTTTTGATGGTAATACGAGTCAAAACCGAATTTTTTTTGCTCTAAGAATGTGGCTATTGTAGTATTTATTCGATCACTTTCGTTGCTGTACTCATAATTTATTGAATAAACTAAATTTTTTACATTCTCATGAGTGAGTCTATTCGCATTTTTAGATGATGACAGTTCGAAGACGGAAACGGATAAGATTTTCGTTTGAATGGTTCGCTGAGCAGTCAGTGCATGATGAATGAATGCTTGATGTGAGATAGAGATAGCATAAAGAGAACCTGCCAACAGGAGAGACATTCGATGACGACATCGAAACCATTTTCGCTTATGATCAGTCTGTTCAATAGTGCGACGGTGCTAAGCGTATCCTCACCTGAAACTGCATATTATTCATTTCAAACAAACTCGAAGCTTCGCAAATTCATTCAGAATGCACATCCCCTTGCCCACAATTATTGCATATGTACTGGTGATTGACATCTAAAAAGCACTGACCACTAGTTATACACATTGGGCTGTTCATTGAACTACATGTTGACTGACACCTATCATTCATAAGTTTATCATTTAAGCATCAAAAAACTTATTGACTGATATTCGACCGTTTTCTTTTTTTTGTGGTCAGTGATCAACGATTAGCAAACATTTACTTTGAAAATGAGAAATGCTCGTTGAGTGGATGCGTTGAATTTTAAAGCGCAAACCAATACGAGACAATCCCATTTAAAGTCCCCTGGAGAGCATTTTTTTCAGGTATATTACATTAGGACAAATGAGTGTGTTGATGAAAGTGGCAGTTATTTTCCTTGAAAGCGTTGTGCAGCGATGTGCTCAGTGGCATCACAGTGAGTTACGGTTATCGCCATGTGACATTCATTTTTGATTGATTTGTATGAAAAAGTTTCGTTCATTTTCGATTCGAAACGTTCACATATCACTTTCCAACTTTTTTAATTGCCTCACATTATGCGTTTCCGATGAATTATACTTCCAGAGCGCAAAGCGAAGTAATTTGTAAACATCAATTATGCATAATTTGGTATAGTAATGATTGGTGACTCTTTATATTTCTTCTTCAACTCTTCCATCCAGCAAACAATAGTTATTTTGATGATTTTGCTGCGATTTCATTAGATATTCTTCGTCTACGAAGTGGAACTTGTTGCAATTTGACGAGCACTCATCCAAAACGTGAGCGCAATTTGTTCGAATATTTTTAAATTAGCAGAGAGAAAACTCAAATAATTCATTTAGGAACACTGAAAGGCTGAGATTTCTGAGTAAAAACTGAACACAGCCGAAAAGGCTAACGTTTTTTGTTTCAACTGATATTGCGTTTTGTTATTTTAAAACAGTGATGTCATCCGATCGACGTTCGGTCGGAGAAATCTGACAAAGTTAGGTCGGAATGCCGATATTCGGATTGCGAGCGAAGAACTTTGAAGTTCGGTCGTAATCGTGAATGTCAGAAATTCAAAATATTAATTCAGTCAGATTTCGACGAATGTGGGAACGTTGAAAAGTCGATTTGGTCGGATCCGAACCAAACTGAAATTTCGTTCGGATGCCATCACTACTGTAAACGATTACATAATAACTAACCCATTACACTTTTTCACTGAAATCAACAACACTCATCATCCAGATGTTCAGTACAACAAGGTTTTTGTGAAAGCGATATTTTGGACTTGCCGATCTAGCAATTGGCAATTGAATACATATGTTTTCTAGCAGTACCCTTCCTACTGCTTTCTTCATCAACATAAATATTATATTTCCTCTAAGTACTACTTCCCTTTCTTTCAAGTGTGAATGATGCTGCTGCATTCGACGATATTTTAATGGAACACATTAAAATGTTCATTCCTTTGAAAATCGTCATCAAAAATATCGCAATTCTATTGACAACAAGTGAACGGCGAATACGTTTCGCAGATGGAACCACTTGATAGCGTCTTAACAGTGATGCATTCAGTTGTTGAATTCCCCTCAATTTTGTCACCTTGTCGAATCGCTTAACTGACCAATCAATTAATTCATCAACTATCGCTCACCATCATCATCGTCCCATTCATCAAATCAGAAAATTCCAAATATGTTCTTTAGATGACAGAAGTAACAGATTTGCAAGTAATTCGAACGACACTAAAGATTCGTCGAAATGATAAACTCATTAAATCAGTGCGATCAATCAATTGATCGAAAATTTGATAAATGAAGTATCATTGACACACGTCAACAACATTCAAATGATTTTCTAATGGTGGCGGGGCTATACGGTAAATGACGATGGTCAATCGAGTTTTTACCAATTGCGAGTTTCAATTTGAATTTCTTCATTCTTGTTCAAACTCAAAAAATGTTTCATATGATTGCCTTTGGATGGATTGTCAATATTACGTTCGCATTTCATGAAATGATTGATGCAGTTTTTTGTGCGCTCACCGAGAAGAAATTGTGGAAAAAGTTTTTCGGGCGATTGCCGAATTTCGTCAACAACTTCATCGTCCAGCTCCAGCTCCATTCGTTCTTCTCATAACTTCGCTTTGTTGGGACTGCAAAAAAGAAAACAACATTAGAATGTGTTGCGATAGCAATGAAATGCATTGATGCACATATGGCATTACACAGGCTGATTAACAATAAGCGTAAAGTTGGAATGGAAAAGCCGTATGAATGATATCACATCGGGTTGATAAACGATCGCAAAACGATTCGTTCGTTTCGATAACATGACGTGATTCATTCAGAGACCCTATCGTTGCCGTTGCATTGCCCATATGATTTCAGTTTTACACACGCTGAGCCGAAAAATGATCATCGAAAAGTGATGACTATTAGTAACTATATGAAATCGCATCCTTTTTTCTGCGAAACACAAGCGCTTTACAAAAATTAAACGCGATATTTCGTAAGAGCGATATTAAATAGGCAAAACAAGATAACTCTGTAAAGAATATGTGCTGTAAGGCGATGACGATGAGGTAGGAACAAAGTTTAAAATGGAATCAACAATACTTTCTTCCTGTGAAAAAAAGAATTGTATGAACGATATGAAGTGATGTTATCATTTCAATATCTGGCTCATTATTCATCAATGACGAACACCCCCGCACCACAACACCAAACGATACAGGCAACAACATTCCAGCTGCATCTTCATCGCTGTTTATGCATGTGATTAGAAATGCTGCTTGACGTATAGGTCGTCCGTGACAGCATATATAATACTATCAACCAAAATCAAGCTATCATGCTTTGGCCATTCACATCGCTATATCAATATGTATATATACGTATTATGTGTACATACGAATGAAAATACATAAATATATCTCATAAAAATGCTATCAAAAGACTCATTCTATATTGAACGTTTTCACAGAAATACCAATAAAATCTGAAACGACACTTTCAGCTAAGCATCTTACCTTCTCGAACGTAATAGTCCTTTCTCAGTTCAAGTCTATTTCACCTTATTCAGTGCATTAGTTCAAGTTGTGATTTGCATCAATCGAGCGATAAAAATTTGTGTTTATTTCCTACGAGAACGAGCATTTCACAAAGTTCGACAACGATCAACTAATGTCTGATCATAGAGCAATTCGACTCGATTGCTCAGGCTTTCGTAAGACAGGTGAATTGTTGCATAAACTCAATGAGAACTTTGATTGCAACTGCGGGAGATAGTTCGACTCTAGCGTTTTATAGCGTTCAATTGATGGAATCACTAGCGTGAAATGACTGAAAAAGCTTGTTTTTGGATGTGTACTTCACATGTCCGAAAATGCATTATTTATCTGACATGAATCGCTTGCACACATCAATCGTTTTACTCATTGCATAATATTTACCCAGCCATTCAACACCTTGCAAATCAAAATAATATCAACACATCAAAAGTGGACGACTAAGTAAACTTACAGCTTCGGTGGCATCAATAAGCCAGTGAGGCTCAGAATTGGCGTCACTGAAAGTTTTTGCTTAAACAAAAACCTTTTTCAATCAGCACAACAAAATGGGTTATTCAGCAATATTGAGTAAATGGAAATTTATCAATCATTTCTTATTGCAATTCACTACCATGCATATGCTGTTTAAACTTCCTGCAGTTTAAACTTCCATTTAAATTTCCTGAACGATTACAGAACACGAAAAGCAAATGTCCTAGACCCAACTGCAGACTTCCAAAAAAATTTTTTTCGTACGGAAAATTCAATCGTTGTATTATCATTATTTTCTGAAATTAGCGTATAGCTCATTGAATTGCATTTCCACGAATCTGACATAAATTTAATCGAATTTGCAATATCTAAAAGGTTAGAGAGGAGTAGAATGCACTGCATTATATGGTAGAAATAAATAAATATTCATTTATGAAAGAACGGTACTGAGGCAAAATGAGGCAAAGTCGTTATAAATTCAAGTACAAATCAACCACATTTGAGCATAGAGCAAAGCAGTCATTTCAAGATGATCGCTTCATGAGGAGAAAAGGAGGTGGAGAAAAGTTATGGGAGGGAGCTGGATGGATAGTTGAATGCACGGAGGGCAGAGAAAAGCGAACAATCTCTAGTCTGAAAGCATTTATGAAGCATTGACACGCCCCATTAATTGAACCATTAAAATAGTAATCATATTCGCTAGCAAGATTGAACGATACAATAGTGATAAGAAAGAGCTGTTATCTCGTCTCCAGTGCAGACCAATCGTGCTCATCGAGTATCGTTTCGTGCACAACAATCACCCATGAAATTTACTGATCAATGAAGCAATAATATCGATGCTGAATTATCACAAGTAAACAATCTTCATCATATGTATATGCTCATATCAAAATCGTTTCAGTAAGAAGCTCGTAAAAATTTTAGGAAATCGCATCAAGCACTATAGCGGACATCGAAATGACTTGTCTTAAGCAGCACTTTTTTTAGTTTCGATGCTCTTTTAGATCAGAATGTGAGGTGAAATATCAGTGGAGTCATGTTTGCAGTGTGCGTAGAAACGAATTAATCGCTTTTCGCTCAAGTTTTAGAAATGGCATTTTCATGATTAGGTGTGTTGTTTCACAGTGGGAGGTGGAACGAATGAGCATTCAGAAAATTGAATGCATAAATGGATGATCATTAGTGGGCATGATCACCTGTCTAATCTTTGAAAGAGATCAGAAACAAATCAAACGAATTTGAATGCATTTAATTTGATTTAATTATGGTCATTTGGGCGATACTAATATTTGTTTTTGTAGTTGACACAGTGGAGAGGATGAGCTGAGAAGGGCCATAACGATTCGAGAATAACGATCGTTTTCTTGAAAATAGAATGATTCCATTTTACGAGTCAAATGTGATTGATTTATATTTAAATTTATGACGATTCTGAACAATCGAACGGTTCAAATAATTGGATTTGCAAATGCGATTTTACGCTGAACAATCAAACTGAACTCTTTTCGCAGAATTTTGGAAGTGTAGATGAGATATTTGAAAATGGGTGAGCAGATCGCACAAAATTCAATCTCACTGATTGTGAGCAGTTAATGGGAATACTGCAAAGGATTTGCACGCACTTGAAAGTAATCCAACTAGCAGACTGAGTATTACAGTTTGCTGATTTTGTCCTTTCAATGCGTAGTTTGTCTGTGTGTGCACATAGCAAGCAGCAAATTTTCCGCGATACCTTTCTGCGTAAAATATTTCTAATTGAAACGAAAAAACCGAATCTTTTGAAATTTTGATTTGTGTGTTTGCATGAATGATTATGTCGGTAAACATGATTTTGTCTCCTCAAGAAACTGTTAGATGCGGCCAGAGTTGAGTGTTTACACACAGCATGCTCTTAATATAGCACAGCTTGATCGGTAACTGGCTAATGTTGCACATCTGAACGTTTGTATTGCATAATTTAGCTGAACGCACCAGACGTTGTCCATTGTGCTAACCATACACCATGGGATTGTTGTATTGTTCAACAGTTTTTTTCGAAGTATTGTTTTTTTTTTAAATTTTAGTAGTAGAATATAAATATAAACGCTTCAGTAGAATACAAAAGTAACGCTTCAATCAGTTGAAGCTGAATTTTGAATAAAGATATCGAATGTGAAACAGATACGCTTAGAAATGTTCATGAATTGATCCAGGCACAATTATTCAACAAAGTTGTATTATTTGTTGAGTAATATAATGTAAGTGTACATATTTGCATATACTCGTACACATATATCAAAGTTTAAGAACGCAGTGTGTAGGTGAGAATGTTGATATTTTTGAATGCTCATTTAAAGTCAAGTACCAGATATATTCTCTTTAAGAGTTTGATAGAAGTTTGAAGATGACGGTTCGCTTTGATTTTGGAAGTTTACTTATTGAGGTGAGGTAAACGGAGAAAAGAGTTCGATGGGAAAAGTACATGCAAATCATTCAGTTGACATCAGTCAAACATTAAATCGCTGATCTGAATCGTTGATCACACACGGAGAGAAGAGACATTGATCAAGTTTACTCATTCAGATCGATCAGTGGCATTTGAATAACTTTTGAAGGTGATTGAAGGAAGGGATATTTGTGCGAGTAAGATTTCGGATAGAATATTGGTTGTAAGATTTAAAGATAAAATGGATCGATTAATCTCAACGATCAAACAAGATGACCAAATCTGCGAATGTGCTTGTGAAAATACTTGAATGGTAATCAAGAAGGGAATTTTTTTTGGATTTTGTAATCAAAAACTAATTTAAGAGGCGTTTGAAATTAACGATAAAGGATGTGCTAGCATCAAAGTGTTCTTTCGGTTTTTGAATTCCAGTTCAATTGTAGAATTATTAGAAACCTTTTCAAAAAGTGCTGAAAAGAAGAAAGCTAAGCATCCAACTGAACAATTTAATCGCAAAAAAATGGTCACATGAAGAAAGCACAGGAAAAGAGTACTTATCAAATACAACAATCGTGACACGATCACTTCTTACGGACCAATATCGAAATCTTACGCGTCAATGACTAAAAACTGCAATAAGCAAATGCAATTATGAAATGAATAAACCGCTCTCGATGAATTACAATCAGACGTTTAATCAATGCTATGCTCAGAAATTCCCGGAAAATGTTTTTATTTTCTTTAAACATTTAAGAAACGAAGAAACGTCCTGTTCTTAAAATGCATAAAGAGGAATGTATCAAATTGCCCATCGTCAAAAATTGCATTCTCAATATGCAATCGGGCCACTCAGTGAAAGATGATTCTAGAGTCGCATCTGGTTTCAATAACGATCGAATAAATCAGTGAGCAAACGACCATAAATGAACGAACATTTGAACACATTCCTCTAAACAGATGAGGTGAACGAAGAGGGAAATGCAAAATTCACATAATATCGAATGATAAATACAAAGAATGATGCAAAGTACGGGCATGTTCTAGAAATACGAACCGTTTGAAGATAATGCTAAAGATCTTTCGGGTGATAAGATTTGACAGTGTGTTGTTCTTGTTGTGCAAACATCATATATGCATATTAATAATCATCAAATTCTCTTATCTTCTAATCACTCATTCGATAATCTCAGTTCATTACCGACAATTTATCAAACAATTTGATGTGATCTCTTGGTGACTGCAAATGAACATTCCTCACTGTTCCTTACTCGATAAGCAATCAAACGAAAATACGATCTGATTCAGTTCCAAGAGATCAGCAATGCCTAATTCAGAAATATCGATGGAAGTATATCATTTCAGCGATGCAGCTGTCTATTATAAGCTAAATTCAAATGTGTTGTTTCCATTATGTCTTTAAAACAACCACATATATTCATGCAAAAAATTTTCACGAAAGCGCATCTTCAGGAATCTGTATCGGTTCCGTGAAACTGTATCGATCGTTTGACACTCTGATTCGGTTAGACTTTCAATTGCGACACTTTTGACTTTTTTAATTGAGCACATGAACATTCGAAAATTTTTGACGAGTGGTCGCGACGTAATGCCTGATGACTTTTCAAAACCAACTTTCGTAACGACTCGCTAATATGAGTTGTAGATATGTTTCTGATTTCTTATATTGTTCAGCAGTCTGTCAAGTTATTTTTTATGGTCCTGTAATAGAATATCAAAAACTGTGCCAGTTACAAGCACGATGAAATTCGTTGGAGATGCTTTGCTGTGACTCACAATGATTTCTTCTTCGGTGTATAATACAAATCTAATAACATTAACATGATCACAATATACGCATATATAAACAAACACTAATTCACAAGTATCATCTCATCAAACGGATTCAATATTCATATTTGTTGATTTATGTCCTTTCTCGCCTTTTAGGACAACGTTTTGTACCTTCAATTAATGCATCCGTTCCCGTGTCTATTGATTGCTCAATAACCTTCATCCAACACCTAAACACTGGAAGACCACCGTGCGGAATGAATTTCTCGGCTACCCACGTTTGATTGAGATACGATGAGACGTAGTTAGCAGCCGAATCCGGAAGTGACGATACAATGGTCAGTCGCTGACCAGACGGCAGCTGTGCATAAGGTGCTGTGGCCGCGACGTGGATAACACCCAACAGATTCAATCCTGTGCTTGCTCCAGCATCCAAACCACGTCGTTTGAGGACATACATAGCCGCAGTCGATGCCAGATCCGGCACTTTTATGGCACGATCGATCACGGTTGGCAACAGACTGGATGTCTCGCCCAGTTTAACGGCACCCAACGATCCGAAGCCTGTTCCGGCCATTCCCGGCCCGACCACGAATGATGCACCACTTTCGTTGATGAATTTCCCATTAATCACATAATCGTAATAGACCGAGAACTCCGAGTCGACGAGCACAATTTTGGTCGGCAAATCGTATCGTTTCGCGTAACGACCGACCGATGTGATGGTGCCACCGGTGCCAGCCGGATGCACAAAGTAGTGCGGTTTCTTGACCGTTAGTTTCGCATCTTTACGCATCTGCAACAGTATCTCATGCATCAGATTCGTACTCTCTCGAGGACAATCGCCGCTCTCGTGGAACTCTTCGGCTCGATCCGAATTCGCGAACTGATTCATGAAGAAGCCTCCGTTACGTTCGGCCTCTTGTTGTGCACGAACTAAGATCTGTGCTGGCTTTGTGCGTAGCACCCGACCACCGTACGATTCGATGCGTTGCACTTTCTCGTGTTCAGTCGATTGCGGCACAACAGCGATGAACTTCAAGCCAATCAACGTGCAGAAGTACGCCTCACTCGCGGCCGTATTGCCAGCACTTGCTTCGTAGACAGTCGTGTTCGCGTTCACTTTACCGTCAACCACTGCCCACATCACTAACGCCCATGCATAACGATGTTTCAAACTGCCAGTCTTGGTGGCTGATTCGTTTTTCATCAGAATATCAACGTGTGGAAAACCGGGTAGTATCAAACGGATGAGCGGTGTTCGACCCATCCGATCACGTTCAGCCCATAAACGATCAATCGCTTGCGAACGCCACGAATCCATCAATTCTGAGTACCGTGGCTTGTCAATGGGTGCCGCTGAGAGAGATGCACTCGAAAGCGACACTGACATGAGTGCGCTGATCACGACGAGCAAAAACATAGTAGTGAATATTATGCGACTTCTTCGTTTGGTGTTGTTCAGTAACGCATCACGAAACACAATCTCCTCGAAACAGCCACCTGAAATACAGTTACTTGAATGAACCGAACAGATGACCAGTTTGCATTATTCAACAGTGGCAGTGAATTATCACACAAATAAATAGTGGACGTTAAAGTGCTAAAAATGTTCATAGTTTGCTATCCAACTGAAATATTCCGAATTACCAGTTCTTCAAAGTACTTGAGCGATGAAATACCCGTTCTATAAATTACTCCACAATCACTCAGTTGTATGAGACTGTCTGTCGAATTATTGCAACGCTGTGTATTTCACTTCAGTTTAGCATCACTTTCGGTGTGAAGTAGTGATGCGTATGCTAAAGTTGACCCAGAAGATTGAACTGTAAACACAATTTCGGCTACAAGCGATTATGAAATGTTACATATATGAATATAACACGACGGACACAACGAATGAACACAACGACGAAGACAATGCAACTATGAATTTGAGAAAATGATGCTAAACTGATGTGAAAGCGCACTTTAAATAGCGCGGTTTCTATCTGAAAGCATTTTTGAGTTTGAGAGCGAATTAGGATCGTTCCAAAACCGACATCTTTCCTGTCGTTCAGCTTTAGAAATCTGGTTTTTAATACGAACGAAGGGAAGAACATGGCAGCAATTGCGTGGATAGAGATAATATATCTGGTTTCTGAAGGTGATTTTTTGAGTTGAAACAATTATCTGAATCTGAACTGTCTTATCTGAAGTGTTTATTCCACCAGTCGCATTAATCAACTATGTCTCATCTTAGATCTTCATAGCTTTTTGTGTAGAAAAGCGAAATCATCTTAGAATGAATATTTTTTTGTTGAATCTTTCGAATCTAATCGCTTTCCAAAACAATTTTACTTTTCCAAATGCTACGACAAATTAAAAAGTCACTTTCACCGCGTTGCACGCTGAAACACCTGAGCCATTCAGACAATATAAAGCAGGTGTTCACATTTCGCAGTGAACAAAAGAATCTGTTTCACTGCAGCGGTTTTCAGGATAAACGGCTGTCGCATTCATCAGCATGCTTGTTTGAAGATGGTTCGCGGCGTTCGATTGTCGGCATGTCAAATTGTGAACAATGAATGAAGCAAGCGTGAATGGTATGTACCTAAGGTTTTAAGTACTGAAAACAACGCGTGCATCCATACTCAGCGTATCATATTTCATGTCAATTTCCGGTTTTGCACTAGCTACGCTTGACTTTCATTATCGAACAAATCTTTCGGCAATTACGTCGTCAATTCAACAACCAAAAAATTCACAACCACATGCACTTGTAACGAATCAGCAACGGACGGACTTGATTATGTTCACTTTTAGTTCCTCTTAAATTGTTGTGTAAAATTTCTTAGATGTAAAATTTGAACCACTCATTTTTTATTTATTTCTTCAAGTTTGTAAATAAGTTGAATATATATAGGTAGATAATCAAACGAACTATTGTTAGTTTGACCGAAAAAGCATTTGCTAGGGGGTCACAAATCAGGAATCATCTCTTGAAGCCTCACAAAGAGCAATTTTTTAAAATTCTCTCGTTCTAATTTTAATCATAATTTCTTCTGCACCGTTAAAAACATGTTCGAAGTTCAATGCTGAGAAGCAGATCAACTCTAGACTGTCAACGCTCACGAACCGAGTGAGTCTCATTAGTATAAGACCTGTTCTAATAGCAAGTAGCAAGATGTTTTGCCTAAAGACGCGGTCAATCGGAAAACAAACGCTTTCTGAAAGTCCCGAGCATTAACGCCAGTGATGTGTTAATAAGGGCAATCAAATGCAATAAGAATGATGAAATGAAATGGAATCATTCACTCAATAACGTTTCGGTCATCACCTAATCATAAATCGAGAGTGTCTAATTAAGAGTGAATAAACAGTTTTGGAGAAATGCTCTTAGAGCAAAATGACTGCCGGACGGAGCGCACTGTAATACCAGTTAATATGAGCATTTATGATACGATCACACGATTTATATGCACAAAATTACAGCCACTGATCGAAGTGAAACGAGAGTTTAGGCGTTTTTGGAAGAAAAAAGGCGAATCTAGAAGGAACAACGCATCATGAAACGAGTATTGCAATCTCGATGTGTAATATTTGATATGCAACGTGCATCGTAAAACATTTAGTTGGTTGAGATGAGACAATTTATATAAAATCGCTGTAAGTTATGTTTACCAAAGTTTCTGTATCAGACTTACATTTTGGAAGTAATCTGCAATTCATAATACTTTCAATTCACCGCAGATATGCAGTTCACCGCAGATGTAGTTGACCGAACAAGTGATAAAATGTGCCTCGGACAGTGGCAGAAAATCATAAAAAGACCAATTTTGCACAGACTATTTGCAAGTGGTTCATTGAAAAACTTGTTGTCAGCTGCGAAAAACACTAATTTTTTCCGGGAAGATGATCGCTATGTCAACTCTGAAAGGGAAACGAACCAATACAAAGAAGTGTTCTGAAAACAAAAGTCGCTAAAAATGTTCAAGATGGAACTGAGTATTGTTTGACTTGTTAGATTTGTACACTAATGAAATGTTCATCAATTTCTAGTGGTCATTATCGCTATTCAACTCACATTTAATCACATTTGATTGTTTTTCTTTGCAATTTCTGACGTAATCATTTTCGTTGTTCCGAGATGCTGATTCGCGTTTTTTTCCTTCTGTAAATTGAAGAAAAGTTCGTGTCAATGTGTTTGGAATCAACTGGATGGCTGCAACGCTGTACTCAGCTGTGCAAAATCTTTATGGATTTAGAATTTGAAAGGTCATCACTACATATCCCGTCAAATGGCTGATCGAATATTATGCAGCGGATAATCGAGAGAGTAGCGTTAATGTTTAAACATATCAGAAGAACATATGGTAAGCTCGGGATTGGCAACGCTCAGTACTTATCAGTGTGCAATAGCCGCTCGAATAAATTAGGATGTCTAACACACATGACTGCTTTATGATTATCTACGAGTGTAACATAACCTGCTTCTTTGATGAGTAAACAGACCCATTGAGTGCATTCAGTTCCGTTTGGCTGCTCGAGTGATCACTTGATCAGGTTCGGTTGATCACAACGAAAATCGATAGTGAAGTGCGAGTACAATTGTGCATGCAGCAATCAATTATGGCTGATCTTGATCATGCTTTCATACAGATCACTCTTTTTTTCACAAAAGTTGTAGTGTATGCATAGTTGTTATTGTTGCTTATCTCTGGTTTCATTGTTATCAGTGACCAATCGATCACGCCACCAAACACAAAACGCTTCTGTTTTGTCATAATAGCTGCAAATCGCATGCTGTTAATTATTTTACCGAAATATTCATTGCAAACGCATCATCACCATCCAAATATTCATCTCAAGCACCAGCCCATAGCTCTCGCCCCGTCGATTCACATCCCCTTTGAAAACAACTCTGTGTAAAGTGGATTAGTTGTAATTGTGTCGTACTCCATACGTTCAATACAACCCAATTTCAATCGGAGCGTTCACAAATTCAACGATAAAACCAACGCATCACCGACAAGATGAACGATCTTTCGTCAGCCGAAGTGTATGTCCATTGATACTTACAGTTAGCGATGCTAGCAGTGACCTAAGGAAAGATCTTGCAAAGCAAGAAATACTCAAGTACTGCGATCATCAATTACTATTGTGACGCTGAAATCGATTATTGAGACCATATGACTACATGTGTTCCATAAGATTGTTGAAATAGACTGCATTCGGGTTATGATTTGTTAGGTTACAATAACTAAACCATTGTGTCTTGGCTTGACCTTATCTGAACCCATGTGCATTTTTGTTGATAGTGCTCATGATCTGAAAGTCGCTGATAATGACGTTAATTTCACAGATTATTCAAATTGTGTTCGTTCGGAGTGACCGCTGTCGCAGCCACACTCGCTGCTCTAACGGGGTACTGGTACATTGTCGGTGAGTCGTACCCGAAACTTAAGAAGCTTGTCGATCTTAAAAAGCAGACCAAAATCCTACAGGTTTTCATTCGACATATTATCCTTCAATCCATCGCATATCTCAGTTTTCAGTATTCGTTATCCGCATCATCATTAACTGTTCACTAAAAATGCACTTACTGTTAAGAACATGTGAGAAATGAATGCATCATGGAAGTGCAGATTAAACATTATCTATAGGTATAGCTATAAGGAGTGATAATTTGATTGATTTGATGATTCAAGAAGCGTTGAATTAACAGGACGGATCTCGAGTAGCAGCCTGTCTAGAGAACGACCAACTGCAGTCACGTAATTTCGATGATTCTCGAACCATCTATGAGGCTGTACACCGTGGTGCACGAGTATCACATAATGGACCGATGGTTGGCTATCGTATTCAACAGTCGGATGGCAGTAAACCATTCGTTTGGCAGAATTATGATCAAGTATGGCTACGGAGCATTTAGTTCTTATGTGATTGCTATCATATATTCGTCGCAATTAATTCATTTAGATAAATCGCACTCAAGAATAATCTTGACTCAACTCGTAAAAGACTCGTTTTATCAATGACAGCATTCAATTTCAACACTTTGTTTTAGGTGATCCGTCGAGCTGAAAATCTCGCACATGGTCTATTGGTGTTGGGCAATCAGAAAGGTCAAGCAACCTTCATAGCAGTCTATTCGAAAAATAGGCCTGAGGTATATAGGTTCTTTCATGAATCAATTCTCGCAGTGATTCACTGAATCGAGAAAGTGAAAATTTATGTTTGTTTTGGAATGACTGTTGATAAAGCGATACGTTGCAGTGGATTATAAGTGAATTGGCTGCGTACAGTTACAGTAATATAATTGTTTCATTGTACGACACTCTGGGAGCGGAGGCGAGAACATTTATCGTCAGTGAAACTGGCGTTCAGTTCATCATTTGTGACGTTGAGCAGAAGGCAAAATGTGAGAAATTTTAATGCTCTTTAGACTCTTATCGTTGCACACAATCTCTGCTTCATTCAGCTATGCTTTGACACGGCTGGAAATGATATTCTTCCCGACTAAAAATGCAGATAACTAACTCTTTTTATGTCGCGACGCTTGATAAGATTCATTTTACAAATTAATTCTTCTGCGGAAAAATCCATTTAAAATTTGTAAACAATTCGATGAATTTCGATCGAAGACTTCAGTGTTGGTTGATGAGGCGTCGAAAATACCATCACTGAAGCACATTATCGTCATCGAGCCATTCAGCGAAGAGCTGAAAGTACAAGCTGAAGCAGCTGGCATCTCATTGCATCGCTTCAGTGAAGTCGAGAAGTTAGGTGAAACAATGCCGGAGAAACCGAATTTCGAGGTAAACACAATACAGGAGTAATGTATTCAGTTCAGTTACTTTTACAATGGATCTAATCTGATTCAATGCCTATTTCAGCCACCAAAACCCGAAGATATATCCACGGTGTGCTATACATCAGGCACCACGGGCACTCCGAAAGGTGTAATACTGACACATGCAAATGTTATCGCTGGTACAACTTGTCTCAACATAGTTGCCAATCTAAAAATCACCACTGAGGTCTATTACTATTTTGACGATGCAGTAATCAGCTGTTATAGAATGCCTTTTCTAACGTCCCACATTTGAAGTGAATCATTTTGTTTAATATAGTCATGAATAAAGGATTCATGCTTGTTTCATGCTTTTAGGATGTTCTCATAAGCTATCTGCCATTAGCACATATGTACGAGCGAATGGTAGAGTGTGCGTGTTTCCAAGTCGGTGCACGAGTTGGATATTTCAGTGGCGAAATCAGTGGTCTTATGGATGACATTCAAATCTTGAAACCAACCGCAATTCCACTGGTGCCTCGTGTATTGAATCGAATTTATGACAAGGTTAGATACGAGATAACACTTCAAATTTGTTGAGCACTCAACTAAATTGGTGCATTTCGAAGAGAAAGAGCTTCCGAAAGAATATTCCTTTCAGGTAATGTCTGGAGTGAACAAATCAGTTTTCACTCGGCTTTTATTTGCTGTTGCAATGGCGTGCAAGAAGAATGAATTACGACGGTAGGTTACCATCAGTTGTGATATTTGGATATCAAGTGTTGAATTATTTCGACTGAGCAATTATTCGAATTTGCTTTGGCTACGCCAATGTGAATATTGTTGCAGTGGAATTCTCCGACAGGATTCTTTCTTTGATCAAATCGCTTTCAAGAAGATCCGAGACAAACTTGGTGGTCGCGTTAGGCTAATGGCCATCGGATCAGCACCAGTTGCACCTGATGTACTAATGTTTGCGAGAGCAGCGTTTGGGTGCATTGTAATTGAAGGATACGGTGAGTTGATGTTGATATGAACGTTTTCAATGAAATGTTCTCTTCGAATGGAAGTGATCGTTTAGGACAAACGGAGTGTGTTGCTGCGTGTACAGCGAGTATCGAAGCAGACTGCGACGCTACTCATGTGGGCCTTCAGATACCGTGCAATGCTGTCAAACTTGTTGACGTTCCTGACCTAAACTATTACGCCAAGGATCAAGTCAGTGCAGTGCTCTCATCTTCTATTTCAAGAATCGCACCGTTAACGGTTGATATTGTAATGTTGCGTGATATAGTATCGATGGATTTATTGATTTTGATGATCATTGTTGCAGTAATCGTATTGTTACAATTTGGAATATTTTTAAAGGTCGGAGAGGTATGTGTCAGAGGAAATAATGTCTTCAATGGATACTACAAAAACGAAGAAGCAACCGAAGAGACTCTTGACGAGAACGGTTGGCTGCATTCAGGTGATATCGGACGATGGACTGCGAATGGAACTTTACAAATCATTGATCGTAAGAAACATATCTTGAAATTACAACAGGTCAATATTGGTCTTTGAAGATGTTTGTAGTACATATTGAAATTAGTGAATGAATAATGAATGTTTTCAGGGTGAATATATAGCACCGGATAAAATCGAGAACGCATATGCACATTCACCGTATGTGTCGCAGTCATTTGTTTATGGTGACAGTTTGAAGTGTTCGCTTGTTGGCATTATTGTACCGGATGAAGAGGTGTGTGCATTTCATTTTGCTTTTCGCATCACTTAGTTGTGCGATGACCTAGATAATAATAGGTTTAATGTAATAAGTTGTGTTCACCTAGGAATTGATAAAACTTGCTTCAAGTCGACCAGAACTGAACGAAGCCACTTTCGAGCAGATGTGTCTGAATGAAACTGTTAAGAAATTGATATTCGATGATCTCATTGAAGTTGGCAAAAAACAAGGATTGTTCTCCTTCGAACAGGTTCGATTTTTCAACCAATTTTTATTTTTGTCTGTTCCAATCAGTCGTTAACTGCTTCCTTCTCAAAATGAACTAATTCTCTTCAAATTCAGGTGAAGGATATTTTCGTAACTTCGGATCGTTTTACGATGGAAAACGATCTGTTGACGCCAACGCTGAAAAATAGGAGACCAAATTTGAAGAAACATTTCGATGAACAAATTCAGCGAATGTATTCGCAATTGAAATAATCTTTATTTGTTACATTTAACTCCAAATAATTTACTTAAATTTGTTGTGTTCCATATTAGCAGCATTCTTCATCATATTTTTAGTAATCTTCGTTATTTAATGCAATAAACTGATTTTGCTCACTTCGTCTGAAAGGAACATATTTTCCACATCGTTTCCAAGCTGTGATCGGGTTGTAAATAAGGCGATTTTGCATTAGCACAGAAAAACGTTTCGAACAAATTGATTTTACAATTCGACAAAGTTTAATCGTTAAATGTGATCATTACAAGAGATGTGAAACAAATTTGCCCTGATATTTTCATTGACCTAGCCATTTTGACATTTCAGGATGAGAACTTCTAAAAAATCAATTTCTTGTATGAAACTAAAGAGATGAAAGCTATTTGTTTCCTGAGTACGCAGCATAGCATCACAGTTAGCATTTGAGGTATACAAGAGGTAATGACATCTTTACGCGATGTAACTATTGAGTGGGTAATGTAGTATTCATCGGGTAGCGAAGACGTCAACAGGAAGAGCTGGTCGCAGCAGTTTTGCGTTGAGGGCCACGCTCCTCGATGAACACTAGCTTTTCTTCACTTCTCGATCGAGGTCTTCTCTTCTGCCAAAAAGTTGTTCCCGATCAACGCTCATGATGGAATATTTTGTTTGAGTCAGTGATGACAAATTACGGCAAACTATAATTTATACTCCATCATTTTAATGTCCCATCATTTCGAACTCCTTTTCTTGAAATTTGCTTTGCTCATATTTCTAATTCCAAAAAGTTTTTGGATTTCATTTCACCTTCACATATTCGTGATTTCGGTTTACTTTAGTAGTTTGGTATCCACTTTTATTTCAAGTTTACCGCTTCAAAGTTTCTGACAATTGGATTGAAATTTCAAACTCTCTGGAAACACTGCTTACCGTTCCCCCACGGGTATGTTGAAGGAAAGAAACGGAGGAGGATTTCTCTCAGAGAAAGCCGGATGTTTGGATCGATCTATTCATCAGGGTAGTACTATGAGGGTTACAACTTTCAAGCTAACGGTACTCTCAGGTATTCTCAGTAACACAGCAATTTCT